TTAAATTGAAATTTGTAATTTTATGATTTTATATATATTTTATACTGTTTTATTTTATTTTGTAAGCCGCCCCAAGTAAACATGGTCTAGAGGGGTGGGGTAAAAATCAAATAAATAAATAAATAAATAAAGCTCATCACTGTGAGAACCCAACAAGGGGTTGCCATATGCAGCTAATATGGTCTTGAGTCTTTTCCTTTGTGTTCTTACAGACGCTATGCTGACTGGGAATTATGGTCTAATATAGCCAACAGGGCAATGACTGACACAAGTAATGTCTACATTAGCTTTTCCTACAAAAGAGGGGAGATTAGTTTGTGTGGCACATGCAATCTGGAATTACAGGAAGATGCAGGTAGCACATAAAATAGGCCATAAAGATGGCTGGATCATGGAGTGATCAAACTGCAGTACTGCAGTGAAGATCTTGCTCACTGCCTAAATTAGCCAGCTCAGACTTGACTCAACTTTCCATCCTTCCGAGGTGGGTAAATCGAGTACCCAAGCTTATTGGGGGAAGAGGCAATGTATATTGTATAGCCTGCATAATTAAAATTGTAAACTTTTACAATTAAAATTGTAGACAGAGTGTGCTTTAAATGCTGTGGGATGGCATACAAGAGACACCATGGGGCATCTGGTATGAAGAAACTGGGCCAGCTATGGTGCTGTGCTGGTCCTCCTGTTGCATCTTGGAGACCCCCCCCTTTATTCCTGGGATGAAAAACCCAGCGACAGGGAATTCCACTTTTGATATTATGCCATCCAGCAATTACTCTTATTAGTTTCCATCTACATATAGGTGAAGCTAATGCAAGCTGCATACATTGGCTAGCCTTTAGATGACTGATGTGCGTGATTCTGAAACTTGAACTCTACCAGCCTTCCAGCTATGATCACAGACCAAATGGTTGCCTCCACCTACGGCCCCATACCTCCACTCCCACCAGTTCAGTGTGGCTTGGATGTGGAAGTAAACCAATACACGCCTCCAAAGAAAGAAGGGAAGGCTGCTTACAAAGGCAGGTCTCTTTTGCAGCCGAGCGGATAGGCTGAGTTACCTCTGACATTTTGCTGCTATGTAGGCTGAGCGTCTCCCCAAAATAGCCCTGGTATTACTGTACTTGGCCGTTCAAAGCGTTTAAAAGAAGCCATCAGCTTTTGAGGCCTGAAGAAAGAGAGACCTTCCCAACAGAATTTAGGTTATGCCTTTCTAGCTTGAGAAGGGGTAGCCTGTCCGTGTGCAGGGGTATAGCTTTAAAAGCAGGAAAGGGAGGAATTGTGGATGGACAGCACTCTATTTCTGTCCTGAATGGGTAAACTATGATTCCTGAATCGAAGGCTGAGGAGAGAGGATGCCACCAGAAGAGGTCCAGAGGCCTCAGCTTGCTTGTTCTCCTCCCTCCAACAAGAAGGAAGTGTGCCACAGACTGCTCGCACACCCATCTCCATAAGAGGCAGAACAGCCTGGCTCCACAAGGTTCAGGAGGCAGAGTCTGGCAAACGAAAACATAAACTAAGTGGCGACTGGCCAAGGCAGAGGATGTGAGAGAGCTTGATGGTAGTTACTCCCTCAGGGTCTCTGAGGGGGATTGTTTAGTGTGAATGGCAAAGTCTCTCAGGGAAAACTGCAGATAGCTTTGCTCCCTTGATTTTTGTTCCTCACTGTAAGTGGGGATTCCTGGGAAGCCCATTTAAGCAGGTTGCTGATCTGGCCTCAGCATCTCCACCCACTCCTCGAACTCCCACAGGAGAGACTCACTGGGACGGAGATCAACCGCAGGAGGACTTTTTGTAATGGAAAAGTAGTGAGCGTGTCCAATTCTAGCAGCTTTGACCAGGGTGGGGGTTGTACATTAAGATAGGTGGCAGGGCAGCAAACATCCAAGTCTTGTACTTGCCCCCCCCCGGGACCTTCAGAATACATGATGATGGTGCTGTAGTTTTTCTCCCACATTGCAACAACCGTTCTCACACACTCTCTTTTCCCTTTTGTTTATTTCTGTTCATTGTGGGCTTAGGGGACATGGAACAGACAAGACATCTTACAAACAATACAAGCCACGCCGCATCCACACTTATGTGGCCAAAACAAGAGGCAAGGCCCCTTCCTCAGCCAGGGAGGTAGCCCTGGGAAGCAGTCCTACAGACACGGGTCAGAAAACTGACCTCTGCGTAACCTAGTTGGGGGGGGGGACAAGAGCAACGCAGGAAACCCTACCCACAAGAGGAAGGCAAGTGAACAAAGCCCTGTCTTTCCAATGCTCTTGGCTAACTGATAAAACGTAATTGGCAACCATTGTATTGAGCAGCAGAATTGAACAATTAACGGCAAGTGTGGGAAACATGGATGTGAGGGAAGAGGCCATTTCATTTGAATGCAGAGGGTGAGTGCATATTTTTACAGTATCTATCCCCACCTACGATGGGTCCAGCTGTCCCCCTCCCCCAACCCCACCTCGGCTTCCAACTCTGCAGTTTCAGTGTTTTGCATTGATGATGTCTATAAATTCAGGCTTGAGAGAGGCGCCACCGACAAGGAAGCCATCCACATCATGTTGGGTAGCCAGCTCTTTGCAATTGGCAGCAGTGACTGAACCTGCAAAGGAAACAGGGTCATCATTCAAAACAAAACAAAACGTCAATGAAAAACACAGAAGACAAAGATGAGAAACGGCAAGGTTTTCTGCTATATGACGTTGCAAAGGCTGATTTTTTAATAGCATTCTGGCGTCTTTTTTTAAGTGAAGTCCCTTCTGAAAGGATGGATTTCACTGTTCGGCTCCAGACAGTCTATTTGGAAGTGAAGAAGCACTGGGCTTTAGTGGGTCTTGCTCCCAGGCTGAGTTATCACTCCTCGACCCCCCACCCCGAATGTGCTATTATGCAACCCAAAGCTTGGTTTCTATGGATGACTCACATAGGTACCTTTTCTGTTTTGCTCATGGCAAATCTGCTACCACTTTGCCATTAAAAAAAAAAACCTTTTGAAACAGTTTTCCTCTCACTTTCTTCAACGCACAACCTTTCGGGTGTTGTGCGGAGGTCCCTCAAGCAGGCTCCTACCAAACCTAGCTGACTGCAAAGAATGAAGAGGAACTTCGTTCCCAGTCCAAATTCTCTGCAGCAAACAGGAACCGAATGCTGGCTAGACTGCAAATAGGCAACTTCCTGACAAATTGGTTTCTGCATCGGGAAAGGTGGCCTCCATTTACCTCCGTAGATGATTAGAGTTGATTGTGAAACAGCATCAGACACGTGGCTCTTCAGCCAGCCCCTCAATTTCTCATGAACTTCCTGGGCCTGCAACCGTGTTAAAAACTGTGTTACCACAACGTGTAGAAGTAAATGGTGCAGGTCAGAATAACAAATAGAGCATGTCTCTGGAAGTGGGTCTTGGAAATACTTTTCCACCCCTCAGTACAGACATCCCTCACAAAAGATAACTGATATTTCAGAACGTGTTTGCGCCTTGTGAAATCCATACCTGCTGGGGAGTTGCAGTTTTGCCCGTTCCAATGGCCCAAACTGGTTCATAGGCAAGCACCACTTTGCTCCAGTCTTTCACATTATCTAGGAATAAGAAGTAAGCGAGCATTATTTAGAAGTCCAGACCCAATGTCACCTGCTGGGAAGGCGAATACTGCAGCATCCCCCCCTCATACTACAGTGTATTGAATTATACTGTATTATATTGTTTTTATTTGATGTACTTTGCAACGGCCTGTGTGCCACACAATAAACTTATGTGTGTGAATACTCTCGCAGTTTCATAATAAATGTGAATCTATTGGACTCTGTATCTTAGCTTTTGTTAAAACAGGTTTTAGAAGTCAAATCATCTGAGGATTATCCCTCAAATTCTTTAAAAATATAATTCCACCTATCAACCACATCATTACCCCCTCTTATTTCTTGATACTTCTTGCTGGCGTACCCAAAAATCAAAGGAATGAGCGACAGAATCTGGCTCACTTCAAAGAATGGTTTACCCAAAGTTTTATGGAGCTCACATGACATCCCCTGGTTTTTACTGAATAATTTGTACAGTTATTTTAAACTGCAACAAATGAGTTCTACAAAGCAGAATGTCTCTCCTGCTTAAACTCTACAAATACAGTGGTGCCTCGCTTAACGGGCGCCCCGTTTAACGACGAAATCGCATTGCGATTAACTTTTTGCGATAGCATTGCGATGTCTTAAATGGGAAAAATTGCTTTGCTTACCGATTATCACAAAGCGATGATTTTTTTAACAGCTCATTGGCGGTTCCAAAATGGCCACCGGGTTAAAAAAAATGGCCGCCTGCTATTTTCTGGGACGGATTCCTCGCTTACCAGGCAGCGAAAATGGCCGCCGTATGGAGGATTTTCGCTTAAAGGTGAGTCTGAAGTCCATAGGAACGCATTGAAGGGGTTTCAGTGCATTCCTATGGGCTTTTTAATATCGCATAGCGACGAAATCGCTTTGCAGCGATTTTTGCTACACCGATTATCGTCGCTATGCGAGGAACCACTGTATAGAAATTCTACTGGAATGTTAAAGTTTTCTTTTGACAGGGCTTAACTCTGCTGACTTGTTTAATACAGTCTTAAAAAGTGTCAAGAGAGAGAACCAGGAAAGGGAAACCTCCTCTCCTCTCATAATTCTGAAACTAACTAAGCAAATTGCAACATTCGGCAGGTAGTTCCCCAATGCTCCCTTACCAGCAATAGCCTTGGTCTGTTCGAACACCACCTTCTCTGTGATGCCAGCCTCTCGCTCATCCAGTTTCTCCCCAATGCATGCGATGACGCCAAGACCTTCAGCCAAGGCATGGGCCACCTTCTGTCCAATGAGCTGGGAAAGAAAGAGACCCATAAAATATATACAGCCTCAGCGCATGTGCCGGCTGCTGACAAACTCTTGCATTGTGCAACTTGGATAAGGGGAACTTTTTTGAGCGACAAATGGCGAGGATCGCCTACCTCATCTGACTCGCCGAAGACATGCCTTCTCTCAGAGTGTCCCAGGATCACCCAATTAACACCAATATCCTTTATCATGGCTGGGCTGAAGAAAAGTGGGGAGAGGAAAGGCAAAGGATCAGGCTACCAGCCAACCCAGTTATTGCAGACCCCTGGCCCCGAAGTCCCAGCAGACTCACCTGATTTCTCCTGTGAAGGCTCCTTTAGCCACCTTGTAACAATTCTGGGCAGCCACACCAATCTTGGCATCAAGCTTCTGGCGGGCAAAGTCGAGATAGATGGAGGGAGCACCACAAACGACCTCTGGGAGCACAAGGGGAAAAAAGAAGTACACCAAAGATGAAGCAGGTCCTCCCCAAATGTGTTTTCGGCTCTAGATGCTTCCAGCCCACAGCCCCCAAAACATCATTTAAGCATAGCTTGGAAGTCTCTTGCTCAACCATGAGGTTCGCGCTGGAAAAGCAGGCTCGGCCCCTTTGTGGATTGTGAAAATCTACATGCCATTGTGCTCTAATGCTTCACTCTCCTTAATATGTAGATTGGGGGGGCCCTATCAATTATTCAGTTAAAACAAGGGTGGGAAACTCTTTTTCTTCTGAGAAACCAATTTCTTTGGCGAATAATCATTTGCAGGCAGAAGGTGGCCACCTCCTCTCATCCCTTCCTTGTCTCCCCCCCCTTGACTTTATTTATTTATTGAATTTATAACCCGCTCATCTAGACACAAGTCTACTCTGGGTACCTAACAATACAGTTGTGCCCTGCTTTACAATTACCCCATTTAATGACGAATCCACTTGACGACGATGTTTTTGCGATCGCAAAACGATGGTTTGAATGGGGAAATTCCGCTTTGCAATGATCGCTTTGCTGCTTCGGGAACTGATTTTCGCATTAAGACTATCAAAAATAGCTGATCGTTGGGTTTCAAAATGGCCACCGGGTGTACAAAATGGCTCCCCGCTGTGTTTAAGAACCATTTTTTGCTTTACAGGCACCCAAAAATGGCCACCCGTATGGAGGATCTTTGCTGAACGGTGACTTTTCAGCCCATTGGAAAGCACTGAACGGTTTTCAATGCATTTCAATGGGCTTTTAAATTTCACTTTACGACATTTTCGCTCTACAGCGATTTCGCTGGAATGAATTAACATCGTTAAGCGAGGCACCACTGTAATGCCTCTTGCTCTCTGTGTTTTCACCCAGCTAGTCAAACGAAAGACAGATCACTTCTACTAGAGGATTAAACTGACTGCAGGTGGAGAAAGTACAAAATTCAAGTAAAGAGTGACACACAAGTAAGGGAAGAGTGATTAGAGGTGGAATATTTGTACTAGTATCCTGAGGAAAATGTTTATGAATGATTTGACAACACATAACATGCAGCCAACTGAAGTGCCCCCTTTTTAATCTGGCAGCACCCTCACTCCAGGAAAAGCACCCATGCGGCTTCAATGACGTGAAGCCACCCTAAACTGAGAGATGTCTCAGACTGAGCCAGGCCCCTCAAGATCATCAAAAAATATATACAGCAGACACCACAAACCCAGCCTCTCTGGGAGAGGCCCTCCCGCCATACCAGGGACTGCATTCTCCTGCACCACCCCCTGCTCTGACTCTTCCTTCTCACTGAGAGGCTGCAACTCTTCTTTCACAACCATCCCCTTCTACAAGTCTCTTTTGGGTGGTGTTACCCCCTCCCCCCCGGACAGTTCAGTTGTGGGGAAGTACAACCCCCCCGCCATAAGTTTCTGGATTACAACTCCCATCAGCCCCTGCCAGACAGCAAACTGAAAGGAATACAACTGAAGTTTGCCATCAAACAGCATTTCAGGGACTGCACTTTGCCCTGATGGTTTTACGGAGCCGCTGACCTCGCTGCAAGGTTTGCACTGGCCTCCGCGGTGGAGATGGGCCCCGCCTCCTATTTGCTTTGGGCCAAGGCATGGCCTCTCCTCCTGCTCTCTGAGGTGCCCCACAAGTACAGGCTGTGTGTACATCTATTCTACAAGCACAGTTCAGATGCTGCCCAAAGTAGACTTTTCGCCTAGATGGGCGGGATAGACGTCTAATGAATAAATAATAAATAAGTTCAGCCTATGGCATTCTAAGGGTCCTCCTGGCTTCTCCAAAGGAGCCTAAAGGAGAAGAAAAAAAGGATCTTTAGCACACAGATACATATTAGGGTCTGCGTATATTTGCAATTTTGCAGTGATAATCAATGGTATTAGACCATAGAGATTTCTGTCTATGGATGGTGAGGGGCTGAACCTTAGATGGAACTGTAGTTTGTGAAAGGGAAAAGGCAGGCAAGAAAGCATTCAGAATTAAAACAGAGGAGGGGGGAAGAATCAGGATCAAAGGTGAAGGCTTTCATGAGGCTAGAAATGAAGTATCTAGACAAATAAGCTGCTTTGTATGTGAGGTTTAAGAAAATTGGTTAAAAACTCAATAAAAAAACAGTTATCAGGAGTACTTTGTTATCTAGGTAGATCTGGGCACTATCAATGTTACAGACCAAGAGGTTTTAATTTTTTTCCAATATACAAGGGTTTTAGGCTAAAATCCACATCTATTTTAGGAGAACATTTAAAGAGCTCCAACCACTCTTGTGCTGCTAGATGAGAAGATTTTTTTTTAAAAAAAATCGAAGCTGGCAACTATTCTCCTCAGCACAGAGGAAAATGTGGGGGGGGGAGAATGGGCAGTAGTAAGAGAATACTTTAAACTATAAGATGTGGGACACTTTTTAAGTCCAAAGGCCACCTTCTTTTGTGGTCAATCTTCTTAAAGGCTACCTGCTCCTCATGGGTAGGGGTCCCTACAAAAAGGCAGTGGGGCCTGAGCAAAAAATGAGCAGAATTGTCCTATCCTCCTCCTTGAACCAACTGATTTTCATATAAATCCATTTATCTCCTCTCACACATACTCACACCCATATTCTTTCTTTCACAGGTTTCACGACAGGTCCACTGAATGAGCTGAAACAGCTACTTATTCTGCTGGCTGTAACTAAACGATAACTATAACGCATCCTAGTTTCTTTACTATCTGGATGCTGTACTGGAAGTGTTTGCAGTAAAGCACAGCAATCCTCCGAATTCTCCGTTTTGCTCTGGCTGCCCCTGTTCTGATCTTTGTGACTGGGAGGTGAGGTCCCTATGTGGCAACCTGCAGTTGTAGAACACACAGAAGTTAAAAGAATCCCAGCACTGCTGGGAAAGGGGCTGTTTCTATCTGAATAACTAGGAAGCCACTGCCAACAGAACAAATAGCACTGGGTTAGGTGAAATAAAGGACTTGCAGCTTCACAGATTCATATACATGTTAGAAAGGGATAAAAACCAACCACCAACCAACCGTAGGGAAGCTAAGTGAGAGAGGGATGAGTGGGCCCTGGCAGAAATCAGTAACTTGAAAATTGAAACAATAGGCTCACATGAATGGCCAGAACAATCTTTTAAATCTTAAATAAATGCTTTTCTTCCATTTTAGGGAAGATCCCTTTCTGTGTGGGAGGGTTTTTTTAATCTAGCCATCCATATCTCCTTTTGATAGAATGATAGAGACCATGTGGCTAGCAAAGGCAAATTATGGAGGAGGGAGCAAACACTATGTATTTGCAGTACCTCTAAAGGTGACCTTTGCAGTTAGAGGACAGGATCTCCAGAGCTGCTCAAGCTTCCTCCTCACTCTTCTTCAAACAAGCCAAATAATCCTGGAGAGGGGAGTATCTCGGGCCACAGACTCAATCCTTGCCTTTCCCTGCACTTCCCTTGCAGGGCTGTCTCCTGACCTTTAATAGACCGGAGGGATAAAGTTTCCAACTCCAATTAGAGCATTTTTACATAGCTGCACGGCCACCTATATTTAGGATGTCCACTCCTCCAGGCCCTTTGACATTTCTTCAGGATAACCACTCCTCAAAGAGCAGCCTGCCTGCCTTCCATCTTGCCCTTTGGATGCCATGGGGCAGCAGAGGATCTGCCAAATGAACCACAGCTCTCTCCGACTGGCACTGCCAGATCAATGCTAGAGGAGGATCTTCCGCTGTCAAAAATCAGGCCAGGCAGAACCAAGGGAAGCAGGCTATCTCTTCATTGCCCGCTATCTACGCATCATGCCACTTGTGGGCGCACACACAAAAGGCAGTCTGGGAACAAGAGGAGACTAGGTGTCCATTGCATCTACTCCCTTTGTCTTGCTAACAAAATCTTTATAAGATCTGTTCTGATCATTTCTTTCAGCATCTGATCCACTGTCAGCAGCAACATCTTAGGGAAGCTCATAAGGAGGGCACACTGACATACCTACAATTTCAATAGATTCCAGTAACCGGTAGGTAGACTGCCCCTAAACATGGAAGTTATGTAGTGACTAGTGTACCCAATTGCCTTCCGAAGTGTATATATGAAAAAAGGGAGGGAAACCTTTCCTGAGATATTCTAGGCCTGCTCCTTAAGATCTTACCAGCTACACAGTTAAAATATAAATTCACTCTTCCCTGATCCTCAAACTTGTAACTGCAAAACCACAGAATGATTGACATGCATATACCACTTTCTATCTTTTAAAAAAAGGTTGCACCAGCTCTTCTCTTATTTTGTGGCAATACTGAATTTTGTGGTATACTGGGGGTTGGACTCAATGGCCCGACAGCCTCTTTGCAACTCCATTATTCTACAATTATTATGTTATACTCCTAGCTTTGACCCAGAATTTGCCAGTGCAGCAACCAGAATCCTATTTCTGTAATTTGCCATGGCTAATTGGAACTAACTAATAAGGTGCCACAGTGCATCTCAGCCATATGACTGGTCAAGCATCTTTACTGCACAACCATGAAGCACCCCTAGTACCTTTGTCAATCAGCTGTCATGAGATATAGCAAGTTACGCAAGCCTTATGCAAACAGCAACAAGGTACTGGCCAATATCAATACCAAAGGCAGAGTGGGGTTTATGTGTTCTGGAATAATCTTGGGATGATGGCAATGATTTCTATGCCAAAAAAAGCAATTGTTGCACCTCTAAAAGGTTCTGTCTTCCAACTTCCAAGATGCCCTTTAATAACCAAAGCTATTTAACCCACCACCTCTTTCCAACCCATTCAACATGATACAGGACTTCCAGCTGTGCTTAAACAGGCCCCAAACATCTAGAAATTTTTAGCACTCTGGGTTTTAGCATTCTGGGTTTTCCAGGTACTGATGTTCAGTTACTTCTGAGTTGGGAAGGGCTGCTTAGAGAGGTGCAGAAGCAAGGGAGGGTGCTAGGGTTGTAAGATTGCTCATTTTTAACCACAGTTTCAGAGGCTTTGCTTATTGACGCATGATGAGGACAGCCGAAAGGAGCTTGTGAGATGTTATTAAAAACGTATCCGTTTCTCTAGGCTTTATCCACTTCAACCGCATATACTATTGATACCTGTGCAAAAGTGTATTTTACTGGCTCTAGATTTTATTTAAAAGGCGTTCGTATCTAACATACAAAAACATTTTAACTGCTTTTTTTCTTCTATAAGCCTCCTGTGGAGAGAACGAGGGCCTTCGACGACAACCGTAGCTGAGAAACGTGATGCAGTCAGTCGATTGATCTCGGTTTTTTTTTTTCCGGGTCTCTCCCGCCGAGGTTTTGCAACAGGGAGGAGGAGGGGGAAAAAAAGAAGAGGCGGCCTGTCCTGCCCGCCGATGGGTTGGGTGGAGTATACGTGCAGGCGGGCACGCAGCGGCAGGAAAGAGGAGGGAGCCCAGGCTGGAGAGCGGCCGAGGCGGGCCACTCCCCGGACCCGCTCTCTCCTCCTCTGCCCGGGGGTCGCGACCCTTTCCCAAATTCCCCCGCCCCCAAAAAGAGGAGCGATTCCCTCCGCGCGATCCCTTCCCTCCTTTACTGGCCGACTTTCTAATCCCAAATCCCATAAAGGGGCAACTTTGGAAAAGCAAGTGGCAGAAGGTCAGGGATCCCTTGCAAAGAGAGAAGATCTAGGAGGAGGATGCAAAAGGAGCTGCAGGCTGGAGTCTGCATCAACCATTTCCCCCACCACCCACCACCCCTACTCTCGCGTAGAGCTTCTGTCCCAAGTGAACGGGGTTCCCCCCAAGCCCAGGCTTCCTCTCCGGAGGGGCCGCCTTACCGGTCTCGGCAGGGATCTTGGCCCCGTTGAGCTTTTGGATCAGCTCGCCCAGGCTTTTCTTGTCGCCATTCATTTTCCAGTTCCCGCCCACGAAGAACTTCCTGGGTGCCATGATGAGAGGAGGAGAGGGACGGTCGTTGCCGGGCCGCTGGCGGAGATGGAGCCGAAGGAGACTCGGAAGGTCGACGGAGCGCAGCGGCAGCGAGGCGGGTGCTGGAGCCCCTTTATAGGAACGCGAGGCAGCCACGCCCACCTGACCCCCCGTGACGTCACACAGGCGCCGCCTCTCCTTTTCATCTCTCCCGAGTTCCGAAAGCTCGGAAAGGCCTTCCCGACTTACGAGGGCGCGCCCGTGCCGGCAGCCCACGAGGTAGCAAGGCGATTAGCTGTTGTCCGTTTTTAATCGTGTGCTTGGATTTGTATCTATGCATCGTCTTTGTAATTTCGACCCCCAGGAACCTGAAGGTTTTCGAGGGGATGCGAGGCGTTCCGGTATGCCATGACTACCACTGTTCAGTTTCCATGGCCGAGGCCGGGATTTGAACCCAACTCCTCCCTAGTCACAGCCTCACACTCCATCCATGTGCCTACTTAAGTTGAAAAATTTACAAGAAACTCCTGTACTCGCGAGCGGGAAATTAATTTTAGGTCAGACTTCCCCCAGCCTGTTTGGTTCTCTGTTTGCATCGGAAATTCAGCAAATCCAAGAAGTGATCTAAAGGAGGAGCCCCTCCTGGTGTGAGGGCCGCTGAAAGGCTGAGGTGTTGCCCTGCTACTGGTGAGGCACTTGGTTCCTTCCACACTTCACTGAACCACTAAGCGCAGGGTCTCTCAGTTAGCCAATGTGCTGGGATTGAGGGGCTGCCTTATGGAAACAAAAGAGCATTTTTAGTATCATTAGGAGAGACAAACAGAACTTGACACAGAAGCAGTGGAAGGCTTCCCCCTTTTCCTTGGGGGATGCTGGAAAAGGCAGAAAGGGAGGACGAGTATGCTACAGACCGTAGAGCACATACCAGAAAAATACACAACCAGACACACTGATCACTGATAAATACAATGTTTTTAGATTTTCCTAGTCATTTTTTTCATGTGTATCAAGCCCAGACCTATTCTAATGTCTCTCTCCAAAGACACAGAATCTCGGCCAACACAGAACTGATTTGGGGGTACATGCTCACTTTACTGTGAAGAGGAGACTCCTAGTCTTAAAATACTCCTTGCTTCCACATGCTGCCTCAGCCATAGGTTTTCTTGCCTTATCTATACACTTCAGGCTGCAACCGAAGCACACCAATAAGTGCTTAAGCTCCAGTTCAATGCATATGTTTACGCTGCACAACGGGTCACTAAATGGCACCAGAACAGCTTGCTTAAATGTTTCTTCTAAATTTATCTTTCAGATTCAGAATAAATCATGCACTTGTGTGCACAGGAGGAACTAATGTGGCCCTCCGGAGTTCTCTTACAATGCTGGAACAAAGAAAGGCATTTACCACTTCTGAGTGTGTCCTGAAGGATATCAGAAAGGCAGAATGTTCAAAGTAACCCACTTGAGGGGGTGTGAAGGACAGAAGAGCAGTGTGCTGTCCTCTACCTCGCAACACCCGGTGGAAGAGAGTGGATGTACGGAGGGAATACTCATATAGAACAGGAAACGGTTAAACCCACAACAGCCTCAGAGATGTGTCTAGTGGATGAGGAAGGGGAGGAGTTAGATCTAACATGGGAGGATGTAAAAGAGGGGGAAAGCGCACAGATTTTAAATTTGACAACTGACAGAGCATTGTTGGGAAGAAAGTTGCGGGGTGCAAACCGAGCCCATGTGTGACTTAGAGGACTCTACAGGCCCTCTAAAACAGTGGTCCCCAACCTTGGGCCTCCAGATGTTCTTGGACCACAACTCCCAGAAGCCTTCACCACCACCTCTGCTGGCCAGGATTTCTGGGAGTTGAAGTCCAAGAGTATCTGGAGGCCCAAGGCTGGGGACCACTGCTCTAAAAGACTTTCCGAATCTACAACTAGGAGGTCTGTTACCCGAACCTAGCCTGGGCAACTTGAAAGGGAGGGAGGGAGGGAGAACCTCTAGAATGGACGGTTGTCGTTTTCCCACGCAATCAGCGTGGGGGACAGATGGTGATCCGTCCCAGTCCCTCTTTTCTCCAGCAACCACCCGAGGGGGACTGGGCTCGTCACCCATGTTGTGGGACAGTCTGTGCCGTGAGGAGCACCCCCTTGAGACCTATGACGGACAGGGAGCGCTTTGGTCCAGCCCCTCTATAAGGAGTGATTGGAAGACCCCTGATGTTAGAGTTAAGACTTATAAAGGTCTGCCAGAGTTAAGTTTGTTAGATCCTTTTGATACCGTTGAATTGAACTGTTCAAAAAATAAAGAAGCTTGTGTTAAAAGATCTGAACCGCCTCCACTCCTCCTTCCCTCCAAAAAACCAAGGCGCGCCTCCGGATGAAAACAAACCTGTTCACAGGGGGTAAGCCCATACCCCCCTCATGGCAAAAACATCAAGTCATGTGACTGAACGCGCCTCCGGCTGAAGACGAACCTGTTCACGCCCCCCTCATGGCAAAAACATCAAGCCATGTGACTGAATTGCAACTGAGATTGCACTCCTGAACAGTTTATGTGACTACATCGGTGAGCAGGCAGAAAGGCTAGGAAAGCCAACATAAGCAACAACAGTACGTAGAAGGGAGTCTAGCAGGTTTCTTTCATAGGCATAACGTTTGCTTCCATTAACTTCCTTCTCCCGAGGAGCCAGATGTTAATTTCATTCCTCTGTCCCGTGTGGTGCATATAACTGTATACCTGCTGATAATGTAAAATGTGGAAGGAAAGCTATATGGACAGACCAGAGCTGGAGGGGGTACAAGGTTTTTATTTGATCCTGTATCTTTTGGCATTTAAGGGGCACATGAAGAACAGGTGCTACTTTATGGACCCAGATAATTCCTGCACAATTTCCAAGGAGATGGAGGAAACCCACCCTGAACGGTACACCGTGTGACATAAACCCGAATGCTCCCCTCCTGTCCCCACCCATTTCTAGGCTGTCCAGAAAGTGTTACAGTTACATCAAGAAGAAACAGTGTGCATGGGATGTTTCCTAGGGTGACCGGATCAGTGAGATACTTTTTCTTCTTGTTTTTACACACAGATACAAATCCACACACGCGTGCACACACACACATACACACACTCACACTGCCCATCAGTGTCCACAGGGGCACCAGACCACAGCTTCCGTATGGAGGAATCCCGCCTCTGGGGCTGCAGCAGTGGCACATAGACACGTAAGGGTTGAGAGCTGGCCCTCTTCTTTCCATTCATTGCCGCCATTCCCCCTCCTCCTCGTGCCATAAGCTGGATCCTGCTCCACACCCAGAAGGAAGGGTCCTAGCTCGGGATCCTCTGGTAGAAGTAGATATAGCCAAGATCCTTTGGAGGCTTCTCAGAGGCGCAGACTTTCTGATCATTATAGATCACCCACCTGGGAACCAAGACAGGTTGAGAGAGGGCGAAAAGAGAAAAAAAAGAGCACAGTGTAAGATTTTTTTAAATGGGGGGGCACAGTTACATATGCAGTAACCTTGCAGTAGTGTGCAAAAAAAGGGGGGGACAAATACCATAATGTTCATTTACTTGAGTATCTTTGTTTTTTTTTAAAGCAAGTTTCTAATTCACAAGCATACGATTCCAAATACACGCTTGCAAGTGAACCAATATTGCTGGCTGATCTCTCCAAAACCGGAGGTTTTCTTGCAACCCCTCCTTCAAACAAAAATAGAGTAAGCAACACCAAAAAGTAAAGATCTGCCATTTGAATTTTTTGGACTACCACGGCCAGGATTCTCCAGGATTTCCTCAGGCAGAATTCTGTGAGTTACATCTTACAGGACCACATTTGCAGACATCAGACATTTATATTTCAGTCAATTGGAGCAGGGTCTGTCTCGGAAGCTGCTGTGTGGTTTCTCGGCATTGTAGCGCTTTGGGAGGTGCCCCCCTCCCAAGCCCACAAGATAGTGAGACTACAGAAAGCACCATGGCAGATTTCGTTTTTGTAAATTAGCAACAGGAAGTAAGCATGAAACAGGCACACAGCCTTGAAGGGCCCTGCTTCAGGTGAGCCAAATACAGATGTCCGGAGGTGCCTGTAGGGATGGGCTACAATTCCCAGCATTCTGCTAGGGAAATTGTGGGAGTTGGAATCCAAACATCCAAATGATGCATACCTACCAATCTAGACACCGAGAATGGCGGAATAATCAAGTAAGTTTGCAAAATGTGGATTAGCACCATCCAGGATATACATGACTGTGCCTGTTGGTGGGCCCAGGAGCCAGTCGTCTGCAGGGCAGTTCAAGAAAGTGGCAGCTCTTTTTTCTCTGCCCTTGAAGTTTGACAAGGTACTCGGTTCAAACCAAGAAATGGTAATTTTGCCAAGTAACTTCCTCCAGAATCCTGCACTGCTCTTTCCAGTTCCTATTTTCTAATTACCTGTTATCCTTCTTGATATGACAGACATAATGGCCACACATAGTGGAAGTACCCATGTGACTGATGAAGGCAAAAAGCTGGTATTCTGAAAGAGATAAATGAAGAGTCAGATCTGCTCCTTGCTCTTTGTCCAGAGGCTTTCCCCATAAACCTTGGGAGAATCTTTACAGTTCAAATCTAGCTCTACCTCAAAAATAAGACCTAACCTGAAAATAAGCCCTACTATGATTTTTCAGGATGCTCGTAATATAAGCCCTACCCCAAAAATAAGCCCCAGTTAAGTGAAACCCCCCCCTCCACCATTGTGCAGCAGCCAGAAGATGACGCGACTGTGTTTGAATAAATGTAGATTATTGTACATAAAAAAGTCCTCTGAAAATAAACCCTAACTTGAATAAATGTAGATTGTTGTACATAAAGTCCTCTGAAAATAAGCCTTAATACAGTTTTTGGAGCAAAAATTAATATAAGACCCTGTCTTCTTTTCAGGGAAACACTGTATGTCTTTCTTCTAAAGATGGGCATGAACCAAACTATGGACTGGATCAAAACAGGAACTGGGCAGGTTTGTGGTTCAGTTTGCAAAACCTGTTTTGCCCACTCACCCCTTCCTGCTGCCCATGTTGCCTCCATACTCGGTCCTGCCACCTTCTCCTCCTCTGTCACCGCCATCTTCAGAGACAGTGGCCTGGCTACCCTTCCAGGAGGTGGGCGTGCTGTCTCTGTTCATGCTTCCTCTCTGTGCATGCGCCCGCCTATCAGCTGATCAGAATGATTAGCTGGGGGGGGTCCGGTGCATACACATAGACCACCCCTGGGCTCCTGGAAAAGAAGCTGGTACTGCACCGTGCACACTGGCAGCAATGCCGGCTTTGGTGGTGTGGCAGTGGCAGAACAGGACAAGGGCATGAACTGAAAACTGAACCAGTTCATGGTTTAGTTTTCTGGCTGGCTCATGGCTAATTATGAACCACAACAAAGTACAATTTTTCAGCTTTGTGCCCATCTCTACTTTCCTCAATGGAGTTAAAAAACTACCAGTGTTTCTGATGCTCTTGATGACTTATCAAGCAGCATGGCGAATAGGCCTGAATTGAATAGGCCTTCCATTGTTTGCTCCTGGCAACAGGAGTTCACAGACATGTTTTCTGTGAATATGAACAATCCACACAGTTTGTGAAGTGCAATGATGAGTGGAGTTCAGTCAGTTTACCATTTACTGTTGGAACTACTGTTCCTTGACGTACTACATCAATGGTATTTTTTTTGGAAATGCAAAATGTTGATACCATGGTAATTGTATATGAAATGTTGAAACTGAAAAAAGCAACTGAAATATGATCGCTTTTATCAAAACGTCCTGTCTCACACTTTTCAGTTTGATAGAAGAAGCCCATGATTTAGCATCTGCACCTGAGCGTGAACCCATATTTTACTGTTAGTAACTTTACATTCTGATAAAGCCTTTTGCACCACATGTGCATCTTTACGTTAAATAATTCAAAATGCACTTTATAATCCATTTTGCAGGTATTCTTACATTTCTGTAACAGAATATAGTTGTGTATTAAGGTGGTCTGTAAGTCAAATCTCAGTCTGCAAGTCAAACCTAAATTTTGCGGCCAGAGAAGTCTGTAACTCAAAAAGTTTGTAAGTCAAGCCGTCTGTAAGTCAAGGGTCCACTGTATAGTTGTGTATTTTGGCTGTTAAGGTGCTGCAACTGTTGCTTTCCCTTGCTTGGTTCAATATCCCAAATAGATGAGCACCTCTGACAGCCGACTGCCTGTATCTTGTGTGATCCCTCCTGTACAGCCACTGCAACTTATGGAAGCAAGTTCCATAAATTATGTGCCATCTACTTGCCACACAATAAAAATGTGCCTTGTTATTCAACTGCGATACCCTTCCTGTATGGCTCAACTCCTTCCAAAAGGTCACCAAGGCACAACCTGGAGGGCACGCTTCAGGTCTGGGAGAAATACTGAGACCTGGTGCATCCTTTGTTAACCCTGACCAAGAGATTCTACAGAGGAAGTAGAAATGTAAAGCTGCAGCAAGGGCTGGGGAGCCCAAACCATTTAAACTTCAAAAGCCAAGACACGGCCTGGGTTCCAAACTCACTTCCATGTCCATCGCGCACTTTTGGCCCTACGGGGACAGACTCGGAGATGGATTCGGCTGCTGAACGGCCCTCAGAGATGTCCATGGCAGCTTCTGCGTCCAGATCATCAATATGACTGAAGATCCAGTCCACTGCCCGCTCAAGGCTGTTATTCTAGAGAGATGAAAATAGTCAAGCTAAAGGATGCCCTGTCCCCCTTTCCCCAAGGCACAACGCGGCAGAAAGGAGGACGTTTCATGAGTAGAAGAGAAATGTTGGCTGAAATCCAGCAGTAAATCACAACTAGCACAGGTCCATTAAAAACAGTGGGGATTTGTTCTAGTCAACGTCAAAATTCCATTTTAAGTTCCACTGATTCAATGGGCCTACTTTACTAGTAGCAACTTACTAAAGGCCATTTTGTTACTTTTTCATGCCTCACTTACTGTTGCTCTGAGTGCTTTCATAGCTTGATCACGGGAGAAACCCATGGAGACTATAGTTGCCACACTGTCTTCTGATGGGGGATCTGGACAGGTGATAGTGGAGCCTGGTCCACTGGATCCTGGAAGAACCAGAGGATTTGCAAAATCTAAAGAAAAGAGAAACAGAGTTTTTAAAAGTCCTGGTTTGTGGATCTACCTCCATTTTTGCCTTCAAGATTCTGCTGCCTTGATCTAATTCTGAGGCACAACAGCACAGTGGCACCACTTGTTGACCTACCTGGATCATCCATGTGTGACATGACCCAGTTCATCGCAGCCTCGGCCCCACTGTTGCCCGTGTAATACACAGCTTTGCGGCAGGCATCCATCGGAAAGCCCATCTCCACTAGTTGAGTTACCACAGACTCATCCAGCATGGGGGCTGCAAGTGGGAAAGAAAAGGATTAGGGGTTCTCAGATAACGGCACTTCTGTCCAACTCGCTGTCTGCCCCTGCCCCTCTATTCTGCCAGTCACTCTCACCACACATTGGCCATACAACACCATGCCTAAATTCTGAGATGTCAAAGCATGGAAGTGGCCACCTCTTTGGAAGCAAAGTTGCTATAACCATCTCTAATTCCAGTAGATCCCTTAGAATCTGAATCAAAGTCACATGGCTAGTCACTCTTCTCACCTACATCATACATATAAAATACACTCATTAGCATGGTTGTATGGGCATTATGACTTGTTCCTTATCTAGTCACAGCGTAGCAAAATCAGACTTCCTCTCTTAATTCCAGGCTCAATGCTACACAAACACTTAAAGAGAATGGGAGGCAGGGATGACCCCAATGCTTTCTTCTTTGATCTGCTACAATTTGGGGAGGGGGCTTTCATGGTTCTGAGAAAAACTCAGGAAGTTACTGCATCCTGTTCAGATAAGAGGGCCAAAGGAAAAAATTGTGGCATTTGTATCACTGGATTCTGAATGTGTCAGAGGAATTGTAAAAGGCTGGGATGGCTGTCAGATTCCTGGCAGGTTTACAATATACAGCTAGCAGACAATTTCAGTCTGGTGCATCACACCTCACACAGGCCTCTTCTAAAATGCCATATACCTGTCAAAACTACTATAAGAACAAGGACATGTGTTCCTAGATAGAACACTGACTTTGCTGAGGATCTGGAAGGCAGGGCATTCCCCAGGACACGTCTGTTGAAAAAAACAGAAGTTTCATCCATCTGGACATGTATCTCCTAGCCAAAAAAAACTTCTGTTGATTTCATGCGCAAATTGTTCATTTCACAAGTGCAAAATGTTCACTAAGGCAACATTTAAAGGAAGGAAGGATGAATTAGGATTTTATTATGGTAGTTCGAGCCCTAGTAACAGCTTATTTTTGCATGTTACATCAACACACCAGGAAGGGACAGCCTTTATCCCCAACCCCTCCACCCTGACTTCTATGAGCCTCTGCTGTCCACGGGCCTCATCGCATGAGCTGGAAACGTGGAAAATCAAACCCAGATCCATGCTGAGAGTTGTCCACGGTCAAAGGAGGATGATCTTCTTTGGACTCCTAACTTTTCATGTGCGGGAGGGCACAGGAACCAGGGATGGAGAAGTAGAGCAAAGACACTCTCCTCCTCCTCACATCTTGATGTAAACACAAAGAAATAAGAAAGGAACGAGACTTGGGTGGCAGAGTTTCTCGGACCTCTTTGGAATGTGCACTCTGCTAATTTCACAATGGCTCATCTAAGAGATAGGAAACCCCTTTATCTTTGGGCTTGGTATGGCCTGGGTGGTGGAGGTCCCCATACCTGCACCAATTTATTGTCCCCCTCGGCACCACCTCTTTATTGTCCCTCAGACAATAATTGAAAACTAGAGAAAACGTCACCCCTAGTTTCCCCCCACCACACTACATTTAAGATACTTCTAAAACCTTCCCTGCAAAGACTACTTGCAGAGAGTGCTTTTGCCAGTACAAGCTAAACCCACCCTTAAAATCAATCTCTTCACAGGGGTCTCAGCAAGTGCGTCATGGACCAAAGGGCCATGCCAAAATGGGGAGGACCATGCTGGCATGGAGCTCCCAGCATACTTCTCTAGAACCCATTTGGCCCTTTGGCCCTTTGGCCAAAAAGGGCTGCCCAACCTGGGCATCTCCATTCAGGAATCTCCAGTGGCCTCCTTAGATGTTCCCATCTAAGAAGAGAAGGTGTGGCAGAAGCACAGCTCTTAAGTCAGACGCTCCTCTGAGAAGATGTGGGGGATAACATCTCCTCAAGGAGGCTGCATATATCATAGATGCTCTGTCTAGGAGAACATTTCACCAGCTTCTATGCACACCCTCGATTAAACCACTGCTCAGGGGAGAACATTCTGAAACACAGGGTGTGGAGACAGGCAGCAATTCAGCAGTCAAGATGACAGGAAGACAGACTGAGCAAGGAGGAGGGAAGGCACTAACACAGGTAACAGGACACGAGGAGAGGGAAAGAACAGGGTAGTGAGTAAGGCTCAAGGAAGAGAGGAGGAGAAGAGTCACTAACATGTCGGAGAGGAGAAGTGAGGGGAGCAGAAGGAGTCGTCGTCCTCGTTGCCATAGAAACCCAGGCTACCTTTGGGCTCATCTGGTGTCACAAGTGGGGGTGCTATATCAGGCATCTCTTCCTCCTCGGGCTGCAGTCCTGTCCCTCGAAGTGCAGCGATGTCCAACTCATCTGGCATTTCAATGGAGACATCTGAAAACACAAGCAACATCCACCGGGTAACTGGGAAATCATTAAAGGTGTCAGAAGCGAGAAGAACTTGGGTAGCTAAAATAATTACTGTACTGTTAAAAATCACAAACTGTGAGTATGATACCAAAATAAAACTGCCCAGTAGCTCTCAGGTCAAATTTCAGCTCAGCCACAAACTTAAAACAGTTGGCTTTATACAAGCCGCTACTCACAGTTTCAATTCCCCACATCTGCAATTTCAGACAATACTGGATGACCTCACAGGGATATTCTGAGAATTACTAAGACAGTTAAATGACCTTTCATCATGAGCAGTTGGAACTTGCCAAACGTTTGCCAGAAACCTACTACTTATGCCTGCCGACGTCAAGCCTATTAGTATAAAAGCTCAGGAGCAAATTGCCACTTAGTTTGGAAGTCAACAATTGCATTTCATATCACACACCAGTTGTGCGACTTGTTATGCAAATCTGACTTCTTAGCTACTTTTAATTCTCCACTGAAACTTATGCTGGCACATCTTCGAGTGGATTTTAGCCACCGTCATTATTCTTGTTTGCAAATGTTGGTGCAGTTATGTCGGATTTAGGGGGAAGAGGTTCCAGATTCTGATCCATCGTGTTTTCTCCATATACTTCTTACCAAGCTTTTTGGGCACCCAATCTAGGCCAAAAGTGAATTTCTTGATCTGGATCACTAGATAATCTGGGAAGGAGGCAAACCGGGTTGTCCTGAAAAAGAAAGAAAAGGATAGTAGAGCATCACATTTCAACAGTCCAAAAACATTCAAGGGAGAGGAAGAGAACCATCTCAATAAACACTTCACAACTGCACTGACAACTACAGGTTTAGTTTCTTGCTTTCTCCCAAGTTTACTATTCTGAATGCTGTGATTCCAGGAACGTGCATACATGGCTAAACTTACAGATAACTACAAGGGTACATTTATAATCTAAGAAACTGCATGGTTAATTTTAAGTCTGCACAGATATTTAAGGGACAGATACAAGATGAACAAAGACTTGTACCAAACAAGCCAAATACAAATATGATTCATAAATAATGACAGCAGCTCTTGCTTCCACTCAAGAAGGTGGCCCTAATAAATCAAATCCCACTGAACAAGCAGGTTCACAGACTGGTTTCTCCTCATGTAAATATACTCTAGGCTGTTACACTTTAGGTGTTTTTACAATCTCTTGATCCTCACTCATTAATTTTAGTACTTCTAAATTGGTTATCCTCTCAATCTCATACATTCTTACTACCTTGAAATAAATCCACATTTCAAACACTTCTGCATTTTCTAATAACAGTGAAAATGAGAGTAACTTTTTTTTCGTGCATACCCTTCTTTTCTAGCTAGCTAGCTCCATCCATCTCCCTATTACCGTACTCACTTGAGTGCCACAGACTTGGCCTGCAAGGCTGTGCTCCAGAAATCATCTACTTGTTCTGGAGCTCCATAGGCCTCAAGGCAGGAGCTGAAAGGCACCTTGGCACGGACCAGCTCAGGCAGTGGCTGCTTCTCTTCTTCCGCCTGTCGCTTCTTTTCTTCATATTCCAGCAACTCATCTGGTGAAAAACAAAATGCAAGAAGGACCTATTGGATCCACCACAGAGGTGGTCCACTTTAAAACAGGGACAGGAGTGGCCATAGGACGTAGACAGTTCCTGGACTCGCTTGCCGCCCAGTGATAAACTTGCTTTGGACAAGAGAACAGCAAAAGCCCTGGAGAAAAATCTCCCACATCCATTCTGAGTGCATAGTGTAGAGCCAAGATGGTTGGACACAACAACCGAGGGAAACCCTATCGTGAACGTTTAGCTTTGTCAGGGTTTCAGAACAAGTCTTCACCCACTTCTAAATGTGAAGCAAGAAAAAAGGAATGCCATCACTCCATTCTAACTGTCCTCAGGATATCAGTTTTATTTTACCATGTTTGGGGAGAAACGAGCAAGGCTTTCTCCCACCTCACCCTCAAATTCCCAAGAAGTCCACATCCCGCTTTTAACCTATCAGTACAGAAGGGTGTTTGGGAAAGACAGCAGACCCAGTTACCCAAAGAGCTCCCAACCTTTGTTCAGGGCTGCCTCCATGGGCACAGGCAGCTGCATGATGTAATCAACGCGTTGGGTGTATTTCACCTTCTCGGTGGCCAAACACTTCAGCTTCTCCTCTACCAAGAACCGGAAGACCTCGTTTGGATTTTCAGAACTACGGCAGTTCCTCTGGGGAAGGATAACATTTGAAAAAAAGGGTCAGCAAAAACATTAACGTGATTTAGCAAGAATTTAGACTAAAGGCGCTTTCAGAATCCTAAGTTTAAAACCTACACAAGTGGCTTCCTCACTTCCCATCTCAGGAACATTTTCTACACTTGCTTGGTCAGTTGAGGCAGGACAGGGACAGAATTCTGTAGGCCAACCCCATGCTTTCTATGTTAAAGGCAGAGGATCAGGATGTGAACCTTAGCCTACAGCCATTTGTTCTTATAACTGTGTATTCTGGAGGGAGGGGGGAAGGTGGAATGTTGGTACCTCCACCATGTTGATGAAGTGTAGGAAGAACTCTTGTGCATCTTGCTGCCGGTTGGTAGAAAACTCTGGATGACCTTTGCCGACAAGTGACTTGAACATCCGTGGTGCAATACCATCTTGAATGCCCTGTAAGGAGAGCTGATTGAGTATATCCTTCAAGCAGAAGACTCTTAGGACTGCTAAACCGCAGGTAGGCAAGACCTCTCTCCAACTTTATGAACAGTGAACAACAGCCCCTACCTTCTGATCCGACTGCTGTTCCCCATCTGAAGTGGCAGGTTTTGAATATTCCCCAGAGAGTAACCCATGGCCCAGTTTGGCTCTGAAAAAACAGAAATGAAAATAGATATGAAATACTCAGAAAATGTACGAGCAAGATCTTGAAATCCATTTAAATCAATGAGGGCATCCCGTTCCCCACAAAGGGCCAAGATTTGGTTCCATATGTTTTGAGAGCCTCATGATGTATCAAGTCTTCCACGACAAGGAGGGACTGTCTGCAGTTCCACAGATCCTATTCTACCTGGATCGTAGCTCCCATTATCCCTCTTCACTATCTATGCAATCCAACACTACCTGGAAGCCATATATTCATTCAGGAATATAGATGTCTGGATTACAAGAGGACTGATGGGAATTGCAGTCCAAATGCAATAATGTGTATGGAGCTGCAGACACCCCTCTTCTTTGTCCTGGAAGGCTTGATACATCGTGAGGCTCTCAAACCCCTTGGAAGTTTTCCCAAAGGCAGAGCTTATTCATGCTTTCACCTTTAATTTACTAACAACTGAACTTGGAAATGCACTTCAAGATTTAAAAAAAACACACATCAAATTCAGCAAGTTTGTCATTTTAACAGTTGAGTTTGTAAACCACTTTGTCTCTGCAAAAACAGAAAAACTGCTATGACAGTTGATGTTATTGCATGTAATGTTTTTCAAATTGTGACAGCTTCAGTTAATCAAGTCATTTCTGTACACAACTGTGACTTGGACAGATAGTTTAATATGCATTGGAGGGACTCCATGAAAGGCAGTGGGAGAGCTCCATGTAACCAAACCTACTGAAATGACCAACCGGGAAATGATGCAGTAGTCAAGGAGATCAGGGAAACACCAATATAAGAAACAAAAGAGGAGAGACTGAGGTGTGGTTACTTAGGGCCCCTTATGAGCAGGGCTTTCAAAGGCTTGGGGAGAGAGGTGCACTTCCTGGTGACTGTTCATTACGTGGGAAAACATTCTGATAAGATTTCACAGTAATTGCTGACACAAAAAACATTACTGTTATAAGTACTGTTCAGCAATAATCGGACTTTCTCTGTGTACTTGACTGGATTAAAGTCTTCACATGAAATTCAATTTCTTAGTAGTAACAATATGTTACAGTAACTCAGAAGCAATGTCTGCAGCGGAGCATCACTGAGCACTTGAGATACAACAGCAGGGATGGTAGCAGCAAAATGAAGTGGCCCCATATAAGGGTGCCTGACCTCATTCCTTTAGAGCGGGGGTCCCCAACCCCCGGCTGGTACTGGGCTGTGGCCTTGTCAGGACCAGGCCGTGGAGACAAATCTCCCACCCCCTGCATGCATGCATGCGCACACACGACCATGCATGCATGCACAGGTGCCCCGCGTACCTGCATGTACAGCATGCATGCACAGGTGCCCCACCCACCCGCATGTGCGTCCCATCCCCCGCATATGTGTGCACTGGTGCCCCACCCACTCGTATGCACGCACAGGTGCCTCCCCGCACACAGACCCTGCCCCCTTGGTCCCTGATTCGGAAAAGGTTTGGGACCACTGCTTTAGAGCACTACATACACTTGAGTACTGAAGTCTTGTGTAGGATCTGCAGGAGAATTCTGAAATATTTTCTCTATCTTGTCTACATACCTAAAAAGCAAACAGAAGGGCCAACTTAGGTAACTGAGAGAACACTTTTCAGAACATCACATCTGCAAGGTCATGATGATAATCTTTTCAGAATTTGAAGCCCAAATAATTACATGCCTATTTTACAAGATACACAAGAACCTAGGCATAGGAGTAACAGAGATGTCTCTACTTCCCGGATTCCCATTTCAGGTTACGACAGGGAATCCTCAGAAGGCACTGAAGCTGTGGTTAGGGATGGCACAAACTCCCAGTTCCATAATTTTATGGGAACCGTCCCACCATCACTGGTGGAATTACAGGACTGGGAGTCCTCGAACAGCAACAGGTAGAACAATCCTCCTACCTCCATGCCATTCTCATGCAGCTTCTCTGCATCCTCTGAAAAGCACCCAGCTGCACCTTTGAGAATCCTTGCAACATGCAAAGGCGCAGCTGGGTGCTTTTCAGATGGCGTGAAAACGGCACAGGAATGGCATAAAGAACTGCTCTTTCTCTTGCTGTTTAATGGCTCTCCATCCCATAATTCAACCTGGGAGGGGGTTCCTGCCGAATTATGGGACAGGGCATGTGTTTGTCCTGAATGTCTCATTCTGAGCAGTGGTTCTGCTTTTCTGTGTCTTACATCCGACCAATCCTACTATCAAGGAACCGGGGCTCTACCATTATACAGTGGTGCCTCGCTTAACGATTGCCCCACATTATGACAAAACTGCATTACGACGATCTTTTTGCGATCGCAAAACGATGGTCTACATGGTTTCTTTTCGCTTTGCGAAGATTGGTTCCCTGCTTCAGAAACCGAGTCTTTGTATTAGAACAATCAAAACAGCTGATCGTCGGGTTTTCAAAATGGCCGCCAGGTGCTTAAAATGGCTCCCTGCTGTGTTTAGGGATGGATTCCTCGCTATACAGGCAGCGAAAATGGCCGCTGTATGGAGGATCTTCGCTGGACGGTGAGTTTTTACCCCATTGGAACACATTGAACCGGTTCCAATGCGTTTCAATGGGTTTTTTTATTTCGTTTTACGATGTTTTCGCTTAACGGCGATTTTCCTGGAACGGATTATCATGGTTAAGCGAGGCACCACTATATAAACAAAAAGCCCACCTTTTCTGAAAAGTACACATATTAGAATTCTGTTATCGTATTCATCATTGACGTGTCAACAACATAAACAAGTTCAGCAGTATTGTTGGGAGGAAAGACACATTACAGGCATTAGCTGAAACAGCAATGTTGTTACTAATCATTAGCAACTGTTATGAAAGCTGGATGGCCCACCCATAAGACTTCTGTCTCTCACCAGTGGTATGTGTACACCTGAAAGGAGGAGTCTCTACCCCTCAATTCTGAAATTCCCTTCCTCTAACGTTCTGACTTGCCTTCCAGAAATAGCATAACACAATGTTTAATGATTTGATTTCTTGGGGTCAAGGGACAAGGCAAGATGGGATTTCATCAAAGCACTCCAAGAAACTTTTGATTTTGACATACTGTTCCCCGCCCCCTTTCCAAGCATGTGAGATAAGGCAGGGCATAAAAAACGCAAAAGTGCTCCCAACATCTGATCTGCCAGATTTGCCATTATTTGGTCCAGGTTCAGGCCTATACACATAGTCAGCCATGGAAGACCATTTGGGGCTATCCTCCCCACCACCACCAAAAATAAAATAAAAATAAAAATAAAAAGAACATTCACACGATAGGATCCACTGTTGACTCTCTTAGAAAGTGGCTTGATGCCCCAGGGCTACAGAGTCATCGAGGCCACCTTGGATTCACTTACTTCCGCTGAAAGTCTGGTATGCTGAAGAGCACCTGCACTACCGAGTTGAGGTAGCAGCTGTTTCCCAGGTTACGGATACCTGTGTAGCCAGGGCCGTAGAGGGGCTTGAGCTGCACTCCAGACTCCTGGATCAGCTCCCACTCACCAATCCGCTGGTTCATATCAATCTCCAGCTCCGTCATTGTCTTGTCAGTCTGCAGAAAAAAGAGAGAGCCACAGAAAATATTCAAGGAAGAGGGAGGATGCCCCTGGGGATCCAAGGGAAATTCTGAACAGCAGCCTGCGGCAAGAAGTCACGACAGGGGCAGTAAACAATGCCTTTGTTAAGCCAGAGGCAGAGAGGAAGATGCGTGAGCTCTCTCCCCACCTACTTTCTGAAAGGAGGTGCCTAGAACTCGGGAAAAGGGACAGAAGCAGCATTCCGACCCAAAAATCTAGCCACAGGAATGGGAAACGGTCACCACCACTCTCCCCTTGCCTAGGGAGGCCCCTGTGTCCCTTCCCAATGTGGCACTTCATCCTATCTAGGTGGAACAGTGACTATGATGACCCACCCCAGAGCAGAAACCAAAGCCTTTCGCTCCATCACCCCTTCTCACCTTCTGCATTTTGAGCATGTCAATCCCAAAATGAGCAAGGTGCTCGGCCAGGTTGGGGTCCAAAACCATGTCATCCTCATCGTAAGAGTAGACGTCTGCCAAAGAAGGGAATGAAGGGACAACAACATTTGACCTAATACAGTTCAGAGCTGTTCCAACAAGAAAAAAATCCCTTCCACCCTGACAGCAGGGATGATTCAGCTGGGAAACAAGTTCCATCTGGTCCCCAGAAAATCAGCCCAATTTGCTATCTAGGAGAGAAGCTGTGAGAAAAATCTTTGACTGAACATATAAAGAATTATAATTTGTGAAAACTGCATGTGAGAACAGTCTTCCAGACATAAACATTTTGATTTTTTTTTGAGAAGGGTTTCTGTACAATAACTTGGACGGTAACTGTTCAAAACAATGGTGCATGCAGTCCAAGGGGTGAGCGGTACTGCACTATGTGCTCCCAGCAAAATGTTAAGAGAGGGATTGCCAGCTGGAAGTGATGGGGCAAATCCTGCCACTGGCTCAAGTGATCTGACTCCTGGAGGTCCTACCAAACTTAACTAGGGTACAGTCCAAGCTTTTTCTTGCCAGAAAAAGGGAGCCAGAAATCATCATGTTTTCAAGAAGCAGAGGTGGTCCAGTTTTATAATACCCCTTTCACATGCAAGTGGTATGTGCATATTTGTAGACTGTGTGGAAGTACATGTGATGTATAGAAGTGAAGGAGCAGCTCTTAAATGAAGGCAGCTGCTGCAGGAGTTTGACCTGTGTGGCAGAATTCACCTTCAATCTCCCCTCCTGGGTCAAGAACCAATAATCATCCATAACAAAGCAGACTGACTCCCATCAAATTGGTGGGGATGAGAACAATTCACTCTGATATGGGTCAGAAATTTGATTAATAGGCCTAGATAATACATTTATCTTCTACCATCCTCCCAAATGTAGTGACAGAGTCCAGTACGAGAGGCACTCTGAATTCCTCCTGAACATCATCAGTGACTCAAGGGCAAACATCAGCTGCAGGCACAATCAGATGGCTTTCTTACCTGCTCCATCAGGAGTGATAGTTCCCAACTTCACAGCCAGGGGGTAGCCCGTCTCTCGGTAATGCTCCACAGCGTGGTTGTTGCCACCACTGCCATCAAAGTAGCGGCGGCCACACAAGATGGACCCATCTGTCATGTTCAGCCATAGGTTCTCCCGCATATCACACTTGGTGCACTTCCAGCCACTAGCAACAGAAGGTGGTGGATAAGTGTCTCCTTTCAGCCACGTCCAGATTTATCCCATAGGAAATAGGGGCGCAATTAAGCTGAATTCAGGTCTGCCCACTTTGGGGAGAACTCACTGCTCTGCAGTATATCTAACAACTGCCTGTTGACCACAGATCAGCCTATAGACTACATTCACTTGAATTCCCCTATTCGCTAGAGGATGAAGACAATGCAACAGGCAGCTGCTAGGAATGGCGCCATACAACTAGGCCTACCTGGCATGCTGCTATCTGAACAACAAACAGGAACTGGCAGAAGGGGAATAGTCAGCCAGGTTGAGTGGACAAAATAAGTACAACCCTTTGGTGGTTCTGCTTAACCCCTTGAAAGCACCATGTGTCCTTCTAGACTGCTTAGGGGCACTATTTTGCATTGGTTCTGGTTCTCTTTGGCTGAATACTACCAGAAGATGATGCTTAGGCACTGGTGTTTGGCTTCCTGATCCTACGTTTATGTGATCTTTCAAGGCTCAGTGTCGCCCATTCATGCTTTTAAACATTTAAATGAAGCTGCAGGAAGAGATCACCCAAAGTCTGAGGTGGAAGTCTTGGATCCATATCCAGATGCAGTGAGGGACAGGACACAGCCAAGCAAACTGGGGCTCAATACAGACAAACGGCCAGACTAGGACTGGGATTACAGCCTCTTCTGGATGGGGTTAATTCCCCTCTGAAGGAACAGGTTCAAAGTGTTTGAGGGTGCTCATGGAAAGCTAGGTGGTTGCCATGGACAGGTTCCTTTGCCTAGTTCTGGATATTATGCCTGCTGCACCCCTCTCTACAATTGGGGGGCTTTGGCCACAGTAATTCAAGTCTGATTTACTGCAACACACTTTATGTAGGGCTGCCTTCAAGAAGTGTTCAGACGCTACAGATACTGTAAAAGGGCTGCTGTCTAACATGTGCTTAAGAGACCACATAAGATCAACCCTGAATAGAGATGGGGGTATTCATATTCGTATTTGAATATCCCCCCCACAGGTGCAGATGATGGGGGCCAGACCGACCTCTCACCTGTCCGCCGCTCCCTTCCTATCACTCCGGAGCTTGCGATGGATTAGCCACTCCTGGCAGAAGGCGGGATGACAAGCCTCTCTGCCAGGTTGAAGTGTGGCTAATCTATTGCGAGCTCCAGAGTGATAAGAAGGGATTGCAGAGCCCGCGGCAGTGGTGGACAGGTGAGTGGTCAGTCTGGCCCCAGGGGGCCGGACCCTCATTACCTGCACCTGTGGTGGGACATTCGTATTCATATACAAATACCCCCATCGCTAGTCCTGCACTGGCTTCTAATTGTTTCTAAAATCAATACAAGTTGGCAGTCATGATCTATAAATGTCTAAGCAGTTTGGCACCAGAATACTTGAAAGACCACCTTCACCCACCTTCTCCCATATGTACCTGCCTTGAGTGCGAGATGCTCAGTGAATGCCATGTTGCTTGTTTATCATCTCAGGATGGCACACTGATGTGTACATGAAAACACTTCAATGATGAAACACCTTCTCTCAAGGGAAGCTAGGCTTCTTCCACCTCTGCTGTTTCCAACAGCTAGCTAGAATTGCCTCACTCTGAATAATTTCTGCTCTCTAAGACTGGCTTTTAGGAAAGGTTTTTGATTTGCTTTCCAAGTTCTTATATATGCTTTTTAATAATGTTTCAACTTGTTTTTAATACTAACAACTCTAAATTGTTTTGCGAATCCTGTTGGGCAAAAAAATAAAAAGATAAAATACTAAAAACAACAAACAGACAGATTCTACACAGTGGCGGCCACAGAAAGCACGTACATGTACCTTAGTTAAAATTAAGAGGAAAGGAGTTCCAATACTTTACCCTGCATTTGACTAAGTAACTCAATAGGTTAGAAGATTTAAAAAGTGGGTGCAGCTGCAATCAAACTCACCAAGGAGGGATACGCACACCATTTTGGAGCTGTTGCAGTGAGTAGGCATGTTTGGACACACGTCGAACCTCCCCATCCCAAGCCTGCACCTCCTGTTTCCGTGAGGCAGAATCTGCTGTCAGAAGCGCTTCAATTGCACTGGAAATCTGTGAAGTGAAGAGAACACAGGCAAATCTAAGGGTTCTAGATTTTATCCTGCTCTCCATGGCATCTACCATTAAGATAAGCCTACAGTGTCCAGCCAGGTATTTTCCATAACTGCCACATTCCAAAACCCCAGCCCTTGCCTCCCATTTGAATTCTGCCCCCAACCAAAGCATTCTAGACCTATGCTATGATTTCTCCCCAGTCAAAGAGTTTACCCTGTCTTTGACCATGTCTGGCAGGCTCTCCAGTCCATCTCGGGGAATATCCAAATGCTCGGGTAAAATGACTATTTTGACATGCTCATCATATTCGTATTTCTCCTCTGGGATGTCAAACCCACCTTCCACACCTACCAAAAACAAGCACAAACAGCAGCAATTGAAAGGAGTAAGAAACAACACCTTAACAACTCTTGAGAATTCAGAAGTCAACATTAAAGGAAGCACCACTTCCCACGTCTCGAGGTCCCTGTTTAGGATATTATACAGACTGAGAGGAACTGCCAAAATAACTGAATTTAAGGCCTCCTGCAAGCTTTTCTTCTTGGAAAGTTGTAGCCCATCAACCTGCAAGGACCTTTTCCTCAACACAACCAGAGATGAGGGCCGCTTCCTTACCAATTGCTAGACGGGTTGGTTTCTTCCGAGGAGGGTCTCCAGAACTGGAACTGGTATCTTCCTCTTTCTGTAGCAGAACCAAGAGAGAACTAGTTAGGTGGCAATCCTTTCACAAAAAGAAGTCTTGGCAGCAAGGAGGAAGCGGATGGCAAAACATCAAAGCAGGTTGCATCATGTGTTGGGACATGGATTTTCTTCTCTTGCTTATACATTTTTTTAAAATAGGCAAATTTCAGCTCATAGAGTAAGCATAAAAGACAGAAAGAAAAGTTTGCCATACCAATTTGCGTGTCTTCTTCAGATGCAGATAGACCCGCTGGCCTGTTTTCTCATAATGTTTCTTCACATATTGCTTTCCAAAGCCCAGGAATGTGTTCATGCAAATATACAAGCCTCCTTCAGATTCCTACAGAGCAGAAAAGAGATTTATTCAATAGAGAGCAGACTGAGAAGGTTTTTTTTTAGCTTTTTGGGCTGTGTGTGATCCATTTCCTTAAGACTCTATGCCAAGAAATTATCAGTGTGAAAACGGTTATTCATTGTGCCTGATTTCTTTTAAGGTTTCTATGTTCTCCTTCCTCGCATTCATTGCTGTGGAAAAAGATAAAGTGCACTAGATGAGACTGAAGGATTTCACACAAGTCCACCGGTCTCTTGAAACTCTTGTGTGGAAAGACTGTTATTGTCTAGCAAAGGGGTGGGAGTTCTTCAGCCAGGTCCTGAAACTGCGCCTAACCCCTGGAAACGTTACTCAGCCACACCTCTGACTGCATCTGTGCACCCTCACTGCCCTCCACCCTCAAGCATATTTTCTGCAAAACTAACAGGGCAGGCAGCCTACACTTCCATTCCTAGAGCCAAGCTCCAGAGTCAGCTTCCTCTGTGTGCTACCAGCTGCTCCTGGAATGGAACAGTTTAGAAGCGAAGACGTCAGATGGTTTGTCTGCCTGACAGACAGATTGAAAGCTAGCACGTCAGGGAGAAGGCTAGGCTTGGGCCTTCTCTCCCACATATAAGCCTTGCATGTGCATGGAAAATTTTAATTGGACCATCAGACATTTTGTCTGAAACTGTCCAAACGGGCAAGATATGCAATACCTGGAGCTATGCCCTAGGTTTTTCTGTCTCTCACTTTATTCATTTGAGCAAAATGTCTCTGCAAATGGCTTGCAATTAGTGGAGCACATTAGCTTGTCCTGCACATTGTAGCTCAGAATCCGTCCTCATTCATCACTCCACCTGCCATGTCCAAAGGCTACTGAGAGTTTAAACTATGCCCAGCACAAGGGACAGTTTACGGGTTCATACAACAATGCACCCTTTTAACAAGGCAAAGAAGCAGGTGTATCTTCAGGATAACATAGCTCACGTATGCTCAATTTGCCTCATTCTTCCTTCTACATGTAATCTTACACATGGATCATGTATGGCGCTGGACAGAACTGCATCACCTGCTTCATCATGTATTCTCAGTTAGGAAAATATGTAAAACAGTTTTCACTCTCTGTTCTACTCTTAATGACTAAACTTATAAAATAGATCAACACCCTTTTCCTATTGCTAATATGATTACCCGGACTGTCAACTATCATCAGAAGCAGAGGCTTTGTTCCCTTCAAAATGTCTGTTCATTGTTAAATACTACAAAGTAAATGAAAGCAATCCCTCTCATCTATGAAGGGTGGGCCATAAGCTGCCCACACCCAGGCTTACAGTACCCTGGCCACCCTGAATGGACAATGACACAGTTTTGGTTTGTTTGTTTAAAGCAGGGAGGGGAGCTGATCTCAGAAGCCTCCACAAATAGTTCTTTAGTGTCAATCTGCAGTGTGCATGTTTGTTCATTTTCGGGTTTGTTTGTTTTTAAAAAAGAAGAGGGACCCTAAGATATTTTTGTGTAGCTTGCAGCAAATTTCAGGGTAGTGGAGAGGAACTGGCTCCCAGATACTACAAAGTTGCCCACCCTGACCACCGAAAATACAAAATTTCCATTGCAAATGACATTCTGTTATGAGATATGCTTTCTGTTTTGACAACTTATTGCAAGGGTATAATAAACCTAGCTCCAAGGGGGATTTGATAGCTGCGTGTAGAGACTTTAATGTAATATTTAATTTATGAACAACCTGCTAAGTCTGCAGTATCAAAAACAAAACATGTGAGAACCAGTAAGCAGGAAAGCGTCAGAACTGACTGCCTTTGGGAAACCAAACTAACAGGCATGTCATCCTGCACTCTGCACCCAACAGTGCCTGGCCAGTTATCTTCTAGATTTTCCACAGGCCAACAAGGGTGGAAATAGGCACACCTCATTGACCCCTAGCAGCTGAAACACAAAGGAATCCCAGCTCCAATTACCGTTAAAGGTCCTAGTTTTCATAAAGGGTCTGGCCCTCTACTCAGGTCACTGGCCACCATGACATCTTCGGACCAATAAATCTACAAGTTAGCTCTAAGCCACTAGGAGACACCAACCATGTTTCCTTTCTCTTCAGTCTGCTGCCAATTCAGTTTCAATGTGACCTGAAAGCAAGGTTTCTTTGCTGGCTGTTTTAATTTTATAAACCTTAGCACCTCACCTCACTAGTCCTTTCCTTCAAAGTTCAACAGGGAAAAAAATTAGCACACTTTTCATCATAAAAGATCTGATGTGCTTTTCCAGTATTCTCTTCCACCTTCAGCCAATAATATAATTGTTAAGACAAGGCAAGCAGACTGTACAAACTTTTCTGGCTGTGGGGTATGTGGGTACCCTGCTAGTGATGAATCAAAGCCACTAGTATCTTTTCACTGCATTTACAATCAGACAACTAGGGTGACTACTTATTATCCCTTCTGGTAAACTGGAGTCTAATTTACAGACAAGCTAGACAAAATGGCCTGTTTTAGAATACGGAGTAGGGACTATAACTCCTTTCAGAAATACCTGAACGGATAGAAAGGAGCCTATCTTAAGCTTTCCTGAAAATAAGCAGCCGAGGAGGGAAAACTCAAGACTGGGGCTGAATCCGGCCCCTCAGATTTTCAAGGCCTTCTCTAATTTCCCCTTTTCTTCATGACATAAACATGTGGTTGTTATCCAGCCTTTCTCTTTCTGTGTGTTACTGTAAAAGCTTAAAATAGTTCTCCTAAGGAGTAGTTGCTAGCTGTATGAGCTTTAAACTTTGCTGGTCCCCCAGATTTTTGGGCACGGCTGGAATGCAGCTCTGGTGAACCCCTCTGTAAATGAATTTGGCTGTGAGAAGTTCCCCACTGCTGCTCTAATGGGGTCAAGAGATCTCCCCTTTAAGGCTCATTTGGACCTCCACCCTCAAAGTAACCTGACTTCAAGTTCGGAGAATATTGTTTGTCCCCAGAGTAGATAAAATTGAAGGTGTGTAAGTCACGGAAACACAGTCCACCCAGCCTACACTGTAGCCCAGATGAACTGGGTTTTTTTTCTTCATACCAATAACTGCTGTTTATTTTTTAAAACACTCCAGACACAAAAGATCCACACAACAAACTTACAAAGTACTAAATAAAGCTTTGCTGTGAAACTGCTACTAGGTGGCTTCTTAAATAACCACACCTTACTCCAGCACACCAATGTTGCTTCTAAGAAGCACCTTCCTTTAATTCACACCTTCCTTTAATTTTATTGCCTGATAAGAAGCATCCCTACTCCTAAAGAACCACCACTTGCCCACTGCCCCTTATCCCATCTGACAGTGATGCTGTCCTTTTTTTGAACCAGTCTTAGCTTTCCCTCTTAGGGAAGCATTAAGCAATTGACCCATGGCACCGATTCTGTGGAATCCTTTCTGCGACCTGGGAAGTCAAATATACAGTGATGCCTCGCATAACGGGCGCCCCGTTTAACAATGAATCCACACAGCGACGATGTTTTTGTGATCGTTTTTGCGATCGCATAACGATGTTTCCTATGGGGGAAAATCGCTTTACGATGATCGGTAAGCTGTTTTGCTTACCGATTTCCGCATAGCAATGTTTTTTCCCCAGCTGATCGGCAGTTCCAAAATGGCCGCCAGGTAAAACAGGGATGGATTCCTCGCTTACCGGGCAGCTAAAATGGCTGCCGTATGGAGGGTTTTTGCTTAAAAGGTATGTTTTAAGCCCACAGGAACGCATTGAAGGGGTTTCAATGCATTCCTATGGGCTTTTTAATTTCACATAGTGATGAATCTGTATAGCGACGATTTTTGCTGCATGGATTATCGTCGCTATGCGGGGCACCACTGTACATACAATTCTCACAACTTGCCTAACAGAATGTCAGGATTGCCTCACTATTTGAAGCTATTATGACAGCAAAATTGGCCAACAGACATAATGCTAGACACCCTGAACAACTTCTACCTGCGGTAACATCCTCCTTCTGAAAATTATTACAATGTCCAAAGCTGAATCATCCTCAAGTAACTACTGCTGCCCAATTCCTCTCCCCGGAGAGCACAAGGGAGAGCAAGCATGGCATAGTGCTTAGAAAACTGAACTACAGATTAGAAGATCCAAGTTCTAGTCTCTGAATAAGCTATGAAATTCATTGGGTTGCCCTGAGCTGGTTCCACTTTCTCAGCCTAACTACATAAGTCTGTTCTTGTGAGAATAAAGCGAGAGGAGGGTCATGGACACCGCCTTTGGTTTACCGAAGAACAGATGGGATATAAAGGCAGCTAATAAACCAACCATGGCGAGTGATGTGGAGGAAATCCTCTAGAGTCTTAAACTGGAATAATGTGTATAGCTCTGGTCATTGTACCTAGATAAGGAGAACTGGAAAAAGGGAACCGAACTCCGCAAAGAGTTGGCGCAACTACTCTGTGCGGAAAGGTTATGATGACTGGGGTTTTGTTTTTTAAAAAAGGGGAGGTGTGACAGAAATGCATGGTGCAGAAAAATTGGTCAGCAAACAGCTTTATTTCCTTTCTCATAATATTTAGAACCTCCAATGCTAATCTGATTACAGGGAGCATAAAAGTATCCTGTAAGAACAGATCCATTGAATGCCAGGCCATTTCTGGATTAAATGCAGTGTGCTGGTTATGACCTATAAAGCCCTAGTTTTAAGATCTTCAGAGAGGTCCTTCTCTTGTTCCCACCAACCTCACTGGTGAGAACTTGAAACATGGTCTCCCCGATGGCTCTCCCTCCTGTCCTTCAGTTAACTGGTGAGAACTTGAAACATGGTCTCCCCAATGGCTCTCTCCCTCCTGTCCTCCTGAACACAAGGACCCTTCTCTGAAGAAGCTACAGTGATGCCTTGCTAGACGATTACCTCACAAAAGTTTATTCGCAAGACGATGGGTTTTTGCAATCACTATAGCGCTTTGCAAAACGGTTTTCCCTATGGGTGATTTTCGCTAGACAATGTTTCAGTCCATGCTTCATAAGACGGGGTTTTTTCGGGACTGTTTTTCGCAAGACAACGATTTTGACAGCTGAGTCCACGCTTCACAAAATGGTTTTTTGCAAGATGACGATTTTGACAGCTGAGTCCGCGCTTCGCAAAATGGTTTTTCGCAAGATGATGATTTTGACAGCTGGGTCCACGCTTCGCAAAATGTTTTTTTAGGGACGGTTTTTCGCAAGACGACAATTTCCCCCCCATTGGAATGGATTAAATGGATTTCAATGCATTCCAATGGGGAACCGCATTTCGCAAGACGATATTTTCACAAGACAGCGATTTTCGTGGAACGAATTAACATCATCTTGCGAGGCACCACTGTACTTGGATGAATAGCAAAACGTTTCAACCTAACAAGAAAGAAGTCCAGTTGCCAAGGGAGGATATAAATGGAATGAAATAAAAGGTAACTAAACTGGGCTATCACTATGTTAATATGTCATTGGATTAGACAAGCCTTTGGTGTTGTCAAGCAGGGCTACTTATGTTCTTATCTCATATTCATTCTTTCTCAGCTTTGAAAACAAGCTTTAGACTCGAGTATTGCTACACAGAGATGTAAAAGTAGTATCTGTCAGAAATCAGCAAGAATATGGATATTATTTTTATTTACAAAACACTATCGCTGTATATACTAAAAAAAATGCTGGTTTACATAATTGTTTCAGCCTGTTTTCTGTATTATAGATCAAGAGAGTTGATGACACCTTCTTGAAATGCACTGCAAGAAGATGCTGAGGCAACAGTATCATAATTATCAGTGCCAGTCTGCTTTTTACTAATTAGGGACATGCTGCTACAGCTTGTGAGATGTAAACACTATCCTTATCTGACTATATGTACAACTCTACTAATACTACGTCATAGTCAGTGATATCAGCCTGATAGTGAGAAACAGAATTATGTCACTTGTCACTCCAGATCATTGCTTTTCTGATAGTGAGCCTTTCAAAATGACTCTCCCTGGTAGATCAACAAGTGTGCATTTGTTATAATGGACTCGGGTCTCTTCTCAAAGCACCATTTTTTTCATAGAGATGTTGGATTTTCAAAGAGGTCAAAATACTACATTTTGTCACTGGAAAAATGTCACACACCCCAAAAACAAGCAGAATCACTGCTGCACAGATGCCAGGAGAACAATGCCAGACTGTGTCTTGAATGGCAAATGATTGTCCTCCCCTCAAAAAATCCTCACATCTTTTGCTGAGTTGACACCACTCCCAGTCCACTGACAGACTGCTGCCTAGCTGAAATTGACTTTTATTTTATAAATTCAATTTCAAAAGTAAAATAAGAAGACCCATATCACTTTTGGTGCGAACAGCAAGCTGAAATCTGAACACAATTTATACTGCCAAGCCCTTTCCATGAATAACCTGCTCCAAATTGTTAAGACGACCCTTCTTTATATACCAACATTCCTACATTGGTTGGACTACAACTCTTATAATTTTCTAGCCAGTTTGGGGGGAAAATCCACATATTTAAGAAACCTTATATCATAGAAACACAGGGAAACTGCCTTATACTGACTGAGATCATGCGTCCCTGTAGCCAATACCGTCAACTATGACCAGCAGCAATTCTTGTTGATGCGCAAATTTGTGTTCTAAGACTACAACCCCCAGAACTCACTAATCAGCATAGCCTGTGGCCATGCTATCTAAGGAGTTCTCCAAGTTATAGTCCAAAATCACAAATATTTATGCTTTTCAGTTAGGATTCGTTCCTAGCACACACTACTCAGGGTGTTCTAATGCATTAAACAGGTCTGAGCCTGGCTTTGCTTTTGTAATCAGATAGATCAGTGTGGTCTGATGATGGTGTTCTCCTTTGTATCAATGTTTGAAAAAGAAAATAACAAGATACTTTTCTGTTGCTTGGAAGAGACTTGTCCTGTTTTGCACCTTCTTCATACAGCATCAGAACATTAAGAAAAGAGAGATTTCTGTCTCTCCTCCAAACTTCTCAACCTGACAAGAGGCTTAAGGGAGGGTATAGCAACAAGGGCCACAGATTAGCAAGCTAAGCAAGTCTCCTGCCTCCAGGATCTATCAAAAGCCCAGTCTCTCTCTCTCTCCCCCCACCTTCTTGGTCCCAAGAAAAATCTAGCTGACCAGCCCTGGCACACTCTATTGCAGCCAGGGAAAAGATATAATTATCTAGACACAAAGAATTCAATTACTATATTGGTACAAAGAGGTATCAGGTAGGAAAGCGCATCACACACGCCCAGAATTAGGAGAGGAGTCACTGGGAGGCACCCCAGTGATGCAGCACATGGATGACTCGGAAGCAAGAGGGCTGACATAGACCTTCTCCCCGAAGGACTCTGGGATTCGCAGTGCTTCGGAGCAGAAGCCACCGTTAGCGATACAAAGAGGGGGACTCCGCTTCCCAGCATGCCCTGGGAGGCACGCCTGGATAGTTCCAGAGGCTTCAGTAGTCCAGCGAAGCGCAGCCCCTCAGCGAATCTTATCGTTGCAGCTGGTCAGGAAAACTACGTTGCCCAGCATGCCCTGCGCCTGCTCACCTCATACACCTGGCCTTATTCAAGTTACACCCACCCAGCCGACAATCACGGGACAGATATCACATAGATCCCACGGCGAGATATGAGGATGAGGATCTAAGCACTCCCGCATAGCCGTCTGCAGACCTGCGACGGAACCCTCCAGGACTACAATCCCCAACAAGCAAAGCATTTCCAGTAAGACCAAAGGGGCCGCTACGCCTCCTGGGACTCGTAGTGCTCTCCTGTTTCCTTACCAGTGGCCATAAAGGACGAGAACCCATAGAGAGAAATACAGCTCCCATGATGACTTGCGTAGGCGCCGCTACCCTTCCCCCCCTCCGAAGCCCTGGTAGCCGGAGTCTGTGGAGACAACGGAGCCCCCACCCACCCAGCCAACGCCCGGCTTTCTTGTCAGGCACCTTACCGGAGTATCAAAGGAGAAAGCGCATTCATCCTTATGGACGCGGTCCCCGGCCTTGGGCACCCGGATAGATGGCAGCACAGAGAGTAGCGCTTCGCTCAGCTCCGCCATGACAGCTGCTTTGTTGGACACCGCCCACACCTTCCCCCTACCAATCAGAGAAGGGAGGACTCCGGGTTCTTACAGCCAATGAGCACGGCACAAAGAGAAGGCGGAGTCTAATCCTTCCTCCCCCTTGGAAGGCGAGGTACTTTGTTTGGGCCGCCCTTTCTGTCTCTCGTGCCCCGAAGGCTTTCCTTAAACGGACAGCGATTTTATCCAATCACGACTCCAAAGCGCATATTCCCCCAACAAATGCAAACGTCCGGTTTCGTTTTGTCACCACCCCTATCTTCTGGAGTTCGGGATGTGCCATTGGGTGATGGTTACTTGTATTCGTCTAAACTAGCCAATAAAGTGGCAACTAACGGTTGATTTGCAGGGTTCTAGACTAATAGCAAAGGAAGCCAAGGGGCGGGATTTTATTTTCCAGCAATTGAAAGAGTACAGTACAAGGAGAAGGAGAGAGATCTAAATTAAAACCGGGCGGATTCAAACTGCCCGGAGCGTGGAGCGAAGGGCGTTGAGTGACAGCTGCTTGGACCAATCGGAGCTTTCTTTCACGCGCCGGTGGGAGAAGGCGGGAGTTTCGAAGCGAGGCCGGCTTGCCCGACGGGGCGAGTGGAGGTGAGTGAGTGGCTCGTAGCGGGAGGGGGGCAGACGTTGCAAGGACCCCTCTTGTGTGGGGAGGAGGAGGAGGAAGGGCAGGCGAATGTCTGTTGCGGAGTCAGGCCCTCTCTGTGTGGCGGAGGGTGACCGGGGCGGGGGCAAAATATGTCTCTGCAAAAGCCCTCCCTCCTGCACAGACACAAAGGGGGATTCGAGCCTTGTTTCCCCCCCCCCCGGTCGCTTTGGTTTTGTTACCTGTCTCCAGGTTGCTCCTGACCTAGGCTGGCCTTAAGGTAAGGTTTCTAGGTACAGTGAAATGTTTAAAAGGGTGGGTCTTACTAGTTCCAGACAAACACACACCCCGCCCCCAGTGAGTTTCCGTGGCCGAGTGGGGGATTCGAACCCAGGCTTGCTGAGGTCCTGGTCAGCCACTCTGGCCACTACACTGTACTAGGGGGCGCGTCTTTAGATAAATTGCTCGCAGAGGAGCGTTCCTTGATGCAAGATAGCAGTTCTCCTCCCACCAGCCCTAAGAGTGGTCCAGAGCCATCTGGGGGAGCTAGTCTATAGCGGTGGGGCAATCCTATGGGAGGGTATAGGTCCCCTTGCCACAACTGCACTGCAAATCTATGCACTTTTGTTTGGAAGCAAGTCCCATGAGCGGAGGCTGTTGTACTTTGGACATGCCACATCAAGACACCAAAATTCATGGGGGAAAGACAATAAGGCTAGGAAAACCTGATGGCAGTAGAAGACGAGGGAGACCAAACATGAGAAGGGTGGACTTAAAAAAAAGGGGAGCCAGAGCCTTGAGTTTGCAAGACCTGAACAAAACTGTTAATGACAAGACCAGCTGGAAGTTAACCATTTGTAGGATAGTGATAGTGAAAGCACATAACAGCAGCCTGTTAATCTGGTAGGGCATTTATTTGAATACAAATGTGTGTGGTTATCCTGTTAATTGCTTGAATGTGATTTTGTGATTCAAGTATTTATTGTACAGGGACACAATGTGAGACAGACCCTAATTCCCAATATCTTTATGTATGGTAGCCATACAGTTTGGTTACTTCCAGTTCGTGGGCAATTGCCTGCTGACCATACTGAACATCTTTGTTAATATGGACGTCCCTCCAAAGGAGGGAGATGCTGCCCTGGTTTCCGTAACAGCTTCCACTTGGGTTGCCTTGCCTATAAAGAGAGGCAACTGCAGGGAAGTGGCCTGCAGGGCTAATACTGATTGCCTGATTAAGCCTAGGGAATTTAATCAAGGGTGAGTTGGAAGTGCAGTTCAAGGACTTCAGCTGCCACCTGTAGGAGCATCTATAGTAGTGCTGAGCCTGTCACAAAGTGTGGGAAAGGAGTGGTCCATTACATTACTGCATGGTGGCAGGATATTTCTCCTCTGGAGCCATCCCTTTCAGGGTAGTTAGTGGAAATGAGAAGATATTCTGCAAGCAATTAGGTTCACCTGCTTTTGGGGATATAATGTTTATATTGTTAGATAGGTGTACAAGGAGCATCTATAGTAGTGCTGAGCCTGTCACAAAGTGTGGGAAAGGAGTGGTCCATTACATTACTGCATGGTGGCAGGATATTTCTCCTCTGGAGCCATCCCTTTCAGGGTAGTTAGTGGAAATGAGAAGATATTCTGCAAGCAATTAGGTTCACCTGCTTTTGGGGATATAATGTTAATATTGTTAGATAGGTGTACTATAATGACCTGGTGGTTCTTGGCCTTGAATGTCATCCTGAATGAATTAGTAGAGAGCATTCTGCCAGTTTACTGCAGACAGCAGAGCTAGATGTGTTCTTTATCCCTTATCCTCGTTTCAGCCGGATGTAGTGTTTCATCCTGAACAGATCCAGTGCCGGGCATTATTAGCAAAAGAAAAGAGCTGGAGGTTCTCCATTCTCCCAATAATGCTGACAGATCTGGTGGCTGTTTTGCTGGTATGTGTATATACTAAGAAGAGGAATGGGGAAACCTTGTATATAACAAATTAATCACAGTTAAAATCTTACGGTAGCATTTAAGGCCCTGTCAGCGTCTCTAATACTTGTAGTTGAATAACAACTAAAAGGTATTGCACCAAAGGGATGTAAAGGGTTTTCCCCCCGAAAAAGTAGTGTCTTAGGCTATGTATGTTTAGCATTAGCTCATTGTCCTAATTATTGCCAGGAGGTTTGTTTAGTCAGCACTTTGGAACTTCATTAAAGCTGATAATAATTAAATTCTCATCTTCTTGATCTCGTTTCACTCGGTCCCTACACTATCACCATGTACTCTGTATGTAAATATGCAGCCTGAAGATTGTACTTCATATGTTAGAAGAAGCGAAAATTGTCATTCACAAAAGATTACACTGAAATAAACATATCAGATCTGCAAAAAGAAGAAAACTCTGTGTAGTACCACAATACATGTGGATAATCTTGTGTTTTGCTTTTGCTATGTCATGTAGTGGAATGTTTATAAACTTAAGAAGGTGAAGATGCCAACAGTTAGAAGGTTTCAGGCTATTTGGGTTATGAGTGAGGAAAATGACAGTGCTATGAATGCACTCTGAAGTTAACTGAACTCAGCAGAATTAAATGTGTGGCCAAAAAAATAAAAAATAAAAATACAAGTCACTGCCAACAGGTACTGAAAACACTAGTCACTAACTGTGGTTAATCTGTTCTATATAATGTTTCCATATATTTGAGCCTTTCCATATTTAGCAGTCAGTGCTGAGATGCTTAAGTGCACCAGATGGTAGACCTCTGTGAAATCTGAGAGCTTTCTCTGGGCACACTTGTTTATGGACATGCCAAGAGAATACAGTACAAGACTCTTACTTGGTGTCTCATAAAGATCATCCAGTGAAAGGCTGTGCTCAGCTGCATCATAATTGATCACCATGGCACTGATGGTCCTTGTACATCCCCAAGTGAGGGCAGTCCTTGTGTAGCAACAGGGCTTTCACTGAATCTTGGTGCCTTTCTTCTTGGACTGTAAAGCTCTACACAGAGTGTTTCTTCTTTTTGCAGAGCTTCTTGCCAGTGGAAGATTTGTTCTGAGGAGTCAGCTCTGTTGACTGACTGGTGACATGGGGGCTTCTGAGAGCTGCCCCCAAACACCCACCTGTAACCCTTTGCTGAACAAGCACCTGGCTCAAGTCAGTGACCCCCGGTCGCCCACAGCTGGAATCCTGAGAACGCCCATAGAGGTACAGGAAATTGTCTTTAAACTGCAGGACTTATCTGTCTGATAGTACTCTACTTTGCACTTGTTCCTCCTTTCATGATGTCTTCTCCTTATTAATCTAGGGCTGTTTACTTTGGCTCATTCAGGCTGAATCATACTTTTGTTCACTCCTTCTCAGGTAGAAAACTCCCCCCAGGCAAGTCCCCTGTGTCTTCCCAGTGAAAATGGTTTAGCTGTCCACAGCCAGAATTTGTCCTGGGACCCCCGTTCCCCCACACCTGGTATCTCCCGCACCCCCATGAAAGACGTGGTAAATGGTAAGTGGAGACCATGACATGCCTTGCCTTGCCTGCTGTTATTTCTGTAAAGGCCATGATGCAAAAAACCAAGACTTTGCCTGGGGGCAAATGAGTTCTGAATGGCTTTTCTGAGCCCTATTGGCTGCACTCTTCTGTCTTTTACTCCTAACTTGTTGGGCTTAATGAATTTTTGAGAAAAAGAAATTACACTTTTGCTAATTGCTTTGATGAGTCTGTGTTTTTCCACACCTTGAAGAAGCTCTTCTAGAAGCTGGCTTTTTCTTGTGGACCTCCCCTGCACCAAAAATGTTGTTAGGTTTCTAATCTGACCTTCCATCCCAGAATAATCCCCATGGAAGCTAAAGTGGGGCTGCTCGCATTATCTGAGAGATGTATTGTTGCTAAAACAACTGCATGAATGGTGTAATGACATTTGGAATATTGCAATGAATGGTATGTTGACTTTGGAAATTAAGTTCAAAAAAGGAGAGTGAAAGACAAATATATTTAATGAGATGAATTTATAAATGCTGTGTTAGGGAAAGGGAAAAAGCCGAACCAAGATTACTGTATATGTATTTTTGGAAGGGACATGGGGAAAGTTAAATGATGGATTGAAGATCAGGTATAAGGAGGTTAAAAAAGATATAATTGTCCCCAGAGTGGAGCACTAAGATTACGATGATGTAATTTGTTTGGATAGAATCTAAATTGGATATGTTTTATTGATGTGTTATTTTTTAAAAAGTAATACAAATTATGTATAAAAGAAGACATGTAATGTTGCTCTGAAGTAGCCTCTCTACCCCCAAAATCCCAATTCCCATGGTGGTGTTACGGCTTTTCCTGCCTGATTTTATCCCCTGTCACTCCCCTAACTGCCAGCAGTTGAATGATCAGTTTTCTGGCTACATGTGAAAGAATTTCTGGTTTGGGGCAAATGGGTTATCATAGTGGGTCTGATTCCTCTCATCCTTGGGTTTGGATGCTGGACGTGTGTCTTTTCACAACGAAGAGCGCAGGTCAAGAACTAAGCAGCTCCCTTCTTCGCTTGCTACACGTAGAGTGCTCCCTTGGGGAAGAAAGAAAGGAAAGCGTCCCTAGAAGATCCCTACCAAAGTTTTAAGAGTCTTGCTGCACATGTCTCTTTGACAATCCTGGGATTCCATGACTGGCCGTATGAGGCATTGTCTAACAATAAATCTTTGTTCTGAAAATGGACTTCCTTCTGAATTCTTCTTACCAAAGATGCTTCTCCTGGCATTGAGATTGCAGATGAATTCCTTTCTTTCCAGATACCATAAACTGCCCAGTGAAGCAGCTGAGTGAAGTCTTTATGGCAGAGAATGAAGAGGAACTGCTTCTAGAGGAATTATGTCATCCAGACCAGAAGCCCAACATTGCCTCTGTTTTGGAAACAGCCCTAGAGGAGCAATCTTCCCTGGAAGCATCACAAGAAAGTTCACTATGGGTAGAGGAGAAAAATGAGCAGCAGACCCCCAATGCTTCTGTTGCAGCTGCAGCAAGACCAACTCACCTTTCTGGTGTCCTTCAGCCTACAGGTGAGGCTATGATGGCTCCAGGTAGGGCTTCTGTTCCTTGCCTCTAAGGTGGGTGGGGAAATATTGCACATCTTTTTATGGGGAAGAGGAATTCCCAATAACACAAGCATGAGATTGCTCTGAAAGGAGGTACTGAAACAAGTGCTGCCCTTGTTGATTCTAAATTCAGACTGCAAGGAACAAGGGTTGGATTGGTTAAATCTAAGATCCTACCTCTGCAGCACATAGGAGACTTATGATCCCCCTCTGCTTGGAGATTTGTGTCATAGGGTGGAAAAAGAGGGATGCACTGCAAGGTATACATTGCCTGGAGTAGCCAAACACCTCCAACTCCTCAGGTTGTATGCCTCAGATGGTGTAAGGGTTCACAACTAGGGAAGAAGGCTAAGGAGCATCAAAGCTCTTTGGCCTCCATTTTTAAAAAAATACTGTGATTAATCTGTAATGTCTTTTTCTTTTCAAGGAAGCAAGCCAGCAAGGCGCAGAGCCAATAGCAAAAAACTGACCATGTCAACAGGTGCTGGGCGTTCCCCTCTTGGTGTCCTGCTGGATGACAACTCCCCAAATTCTCTTGCTTCTCTCCAGGTGATACATTATATGATGAAAGGAACTTTCATTATTCCATGAACAGCCAAGCAAAGACTTCCTTCCTACCTTCACTTTTCCTTCCAGGGTTTATGACAGTTGTTCTTAAAAAGCTAAGGCTTTTGTCTCTTTGTCAATCAGAGTAGCCAGAGTCTGCCTGCTCGGTGCCATACAATCCTATTTGCTCTGTTCCAGGCTCTACATTTTTCAAGTGTCTGCTCCATGTTAATTGTGGTTGCTTTGTTTTTCAACACCATTTATCTGACAGCTTCAGGTGCGTGCTCTGCAAGTGTTCACACACACACATGGCGTGAGGCACTTCTATGGCTTTTATTGTAACAAGATGTTTTAATTTGATGCCAGATACGTACCGTTAGCTTGGCTTTCACAACAGAATCTATCCCATCCTATAGGGCTTTGATGGCAAAGGACTGGCCCATGGGCTAGCTCTTTGGGCTCCTTGATGCTAAGGCTTGGGCTAGAGAGCTTCTAACCCATAGGCAACAAAAGGACCAGTAGGAATGGTTATGATTCAGACCTTATTTATTTGCTTGCCAAGTGCACTTTTATTCTTACTCTGAAGAACACATGACATGTATTAATAAGCAGCATTTCTCCAAGACTTTTCTGGAAACCTACACTGTGAGTCTTCCTCAGCAGCAGGCGCAGCTCTTCTTAGAGGCTGCTTCTGCAGCTGGAGAGAGGAATTTAAGACTGCAGTGTCGCCTTATGTGTCAGAAAATAAGTCCTGCCATCCCGAACATGTTAAGAACAAGTTGTGGTTCCTTTTGTGGTGAGCAAGAGACATATTTTATGTTGTGTGCATTGTGCAGTGACAGTCAGTTTCCTTCCATTTATACACTAGTGGGAAGGATGCACGGCTGGGAGGATCTCTTTATCCCAGTGTCACTTGAAACGGGGTAGATTACCTTTTTTTCCCAGTTGAAGTTCTTTGTTTTCTCCCTGAATGTCAGTGAGTCCCAGGACACAAAGCAACAAGCCTCAGTGATACAAGGATCAAATCCCAAAAGCACTCACCCATTCAGTTTAGGTCTTCTTTTGACTGAGGAACCAAATGGTAGTGTTTGTGTAAACGACAAAACAGCCCCTATTTGGGGCTTTTCCTCTGAGCTGGGCATTTTTCAGATAAGAAGAAAAAATAAAATGTAAAAATTCCTTTTCTTTTACGCTCACTGTGTCTTGCTCTCCCTCCCTCCCCATGTTTTAGTTGACTTTGTTTCCTTTTGCACATCTCATCATGACAGCTTTCTTTTTCCCCCTCAGGGCAAAAGGTGCCTTTCAGTGGCAGACAGCCAAGAAGACCGCAAAGAGGCAGTATTAAGCTCTGGACGAAGCCTGAAGGCAGGCGCCTGTAACTGGCAGTCCTTGAACAAAGAGAATCGGCAGTGTTATTTGGTGGAAAATTAGGCCCTCTTCAGATGCTCCAGGGATTGCTGATCTCTGGCAGGGAGGCTTTGAAGACTCATGAGTGGAGATGTCCTTTCCTTCTTGTTCCTTCTGGCTTAGACTCGAAAGGGAATTACCTGTATATATATATATATCATCTCTGGTTCCTTGTTTAAATTGAACCGATTGTTGCATTTAGCTATATTTTTAGAATGCTTTCTCTGCATCCAAATTTTGGTGTCTGTCTGGAAGGAAAATAAATGTCACTACAGAATGAGACATCAGCTCCCTGTGGTATTCTGCCATATTGGCAAAGCTAATGAATAGGACTAAGAATATAGGCTGAAAGTTATTTGCTCTCACAAACATCTTAGGAGCCGTTGTCCTTTGCTGGAGATTACTGGATTTGGATGTCCAGCAGAAAAGCAGAATACAGAAACAAAGGAGGAAGTCCTGTAGATACTTAAACTATAGGGAGTATGCCCAGCTGATTGGAAGGCGGCTAATGTCTAAGAAATTATGCATATAACTTCATGTGAGTCTTAATGCTGGACATAGATGGCATTTATGCAGTGTTGGTTTTGCATGCTCTTACTCTCAGGGTTAGTCCAGTTTCTTCAGTTAAAAAGACCTCTTCCTAAGGCTTTGGATGGTCATAATCGGTTATAGAAAACAATACTTGGCTTGATGGATCAGGAGTCTGATATTGTAAAGCCTAGTATCCCCCATGTGCCTCTTTCAGGAGTATTTGAGAAGCATTTTTTTCCTACTTGGAATGGGTACCAATATCCCATGTAATATTATGTATTCACAGAATCTCAGGTTTGTAAAAAGGCATGTGACTTGTTGCATTAGACTTTGCAGTGGAGAAAACAAGGGGTGCATTTCCTGCAAAGAGCTTAACCAGCACACACTGAAAGCTACCGTATTTTTCGTTCCATAAGACGCACCTTTCCATAAGACGCACCAATTTTTTAGGAGAAGAAAACAGGAAAATATAATCTGTTTTCTTCGCTCCATAAGACGCACAGACTTTCCACCCCCCTGTTTTGTGGGGGAAAAGCGAAAAATACGGTACCTTCAAACTTTTGCCACGGAAACAAACATACGGACACCAAATTCTTTGCTAAATTCTTAATTGAGTCCTTGAGACCTGCCTTGGTCTCTATGGCTATACAGTGGGGTCTTGACTTGAAAACTTAATCCGTATTGGAAGGCGGTTCTCAAGTCAAAATGTCTGTAAATCAAGTCTCCATTGACCTACAGTGCATTGAAAACCAATTAATCCCATAACAGGCCGTTTTTGTTCCATTTTGTTTTTTTTCTGGTCTGTAAGTCAAATCTCAATCTGCAAGTCAAACCTAAATTTTGCGGCCAGAGAAGTCTGTAACTCAAAAAGTCTGTAAGTCTAGCCGTCTGTAAGTCAAGGGTCCACTGTACACAGAATTGCTGAAGCAGGTGGTTGATGGGTATACATGGAATTGCTTCTGGCCAAACCATGTTAACCTTGTCCAAACTCATGTTGCATTGTCACTGACCTGAGAAGTATCACTCACATCCAGTTTTGTGCTCATTGTACCAATGGCTCCTTTGGTACTTAAGGAGTTGCAAATAATAGAACCTTATTTCTGGTGAATTAGGGTGTGTGTCCCCCTTTGCCAAGGTGAAAAAGGACATGAGACTGTTTTTCTACAGATTTTTGTCTATAGGGGATAGGATGAAAATAGAGAGGTAAGTAGGATGTTCTCAGAGGTAGTACACATTCCCTTCATTCTGGTTTCTAAGGAACTGAGCTATCCATGATCCCTGTCTAGGGTACTTAATCTTTGGCAAGCTGCTTTTTCTTTGCTCAGACTCTATTTCATCTCCATGCAAATGGAGGTAATACATGTGAAAACTGCTGAAATATTGGTTCAGTTTTACAGTCATAGAAAACCATGGCAGCTTAAACTAGGTGATGTCATATCTCAGTTGACAAACCCTTGTTTGCAATCATCTGGCAACTGGAAACTGTGGCTTGAAAGGAATTTGTGAATAATATTTTTAATGTAACAATGCCTTGGAGTGATACCAGAATGTATTTACCACTTGTGACCACTGTGCATCCCTAAAGCAAGGAGGGGCAAAGTGTAGCCTTCCACAAGTTGTTGGACAATAACTCCCAGAAAATTTCAGCACTGATTATGTCAGGTAAGAGTAACAACTCGATCTGGATGGTTGTACCATGCCCATCCCTGTTCTACAGGTTAATATTTAATGGAAGCAAGTGAATTTTGGAACCTAAGAGAATGGAGTGTGTAACAGAACAAGCTGTTCCAAGTCGTGTGAACTGGGTTCATGTGATATCAGAACTGAATTTGTATGTGAATTTCTTTGAATGCTCTGAAGTGCTGTATATAGGCCCTAAGTGTTTATCATAATCAACAGGTCTTGAATCATTGCCGAAAGGCTACAAGTAGAACTGCCCCTTTATTTCCCAAGATCTCATTTTAATTCCTTAGAATTATATATTGCCTCGTAGTTAATGATGTATAATCATAGAGGAAGAAGTAAGCACAAACACTTAATTTTGCAAATTTGATTTGTTCTTGGGTGGAAAATGGTCACCCATCCTGTGAAAAGCTGATTGTTTGCGAATAAATTGTGGCAGGTGGTTGATGGGTATTTGTAATTCGGCTGCAGAGCAACCCTTTGTACATACCCCTGGAGTGTAGAATACAAAGGACGAGCACATGCACATTGAGCAGTTATCAGTTAGAAAGGGTGTATGTGGGAACGAGTCATAGCTGAGAATATGTACATGAAAACTTAGGCCAGAGCATCTTTAGGGGCAGTGGAAATACAGATACTATGAAAATGTTTTCTGAGAATCTGACTAATTCGGCTGCAGAGCAACCCTTTGTACACACCCCTGGAGTGTAGAATACAAAGAAAAAGGACGAGCACATGCACACTGAGCAGTTATCAGAAAGGGTGTATGTGGGAAAGAGTCATAGCTGAGAATACGTACATGAAAACTTAGGCTAGAGCATCTTTAGGGGCAGCGGAAATACAGGCACTATGAAAATGTTTTCTGAGAATCTGGGGCTCCCAACCTATTTCTGCTCATAGGAATGTATTTGTTTTCATAATGCTCATATTTCTACGCTTAACATAACCAGAACTTTGGACCATGGAGTCCAGAATTCCTCAGCCAGCTATTGTGGCTACGAGCATTTCCCAACTCAAGAAAAGGGTGGCTGCATAATAGTTCATCTCCTCTTGAAACCTCCAGATCCACTACATATTTCTACGCTTAACATAACCAGAACTTTGGACCATGGAGTCCACCTCACCTCAGCCAGCTATTGTGGCTACGAGCATTTCCCAACTCAAGAAAAGGGTGGCTGCATAATAGTTCATCTCCTCTTGAAAACTCAAGATCCACTACCCTTTTCTTTCTTTCTTTTCTTTTCTTTTCTTTTCTTTTCTTTTCTTTTCTTTTTTCTTTTTGGAGCCATGGAAAATACTAGATCAGCCACACTCTTTTGACTACAGAATAAGTTCAAGATGCCCTCACATTTATTTTGAATGTTTCAGAGTTTCTTCCCAGACAAACTCCTGAAGAATGAAGCTTGCAACAATCTGATGTTTCACCTTTATTTTGCCTTGGCTATAAAACTCCTGTATGATAGTTACATCTTAAAGCAGTGGCTAAGGAGAACCGAAAGGATGACAGGGTAGGGGTGGAGAAAGAAAAGAGACTGAGTACACAGTACATGATGGGTGAGGGATTGTAGGGTGGTGTGAAAAGGAGTGGCTACAGGCAGACAATAAATAGAATTACATTAAATTTTCTCTGGTTCTGGTGCCCACAACAGGGCAGCAAACGCTCCCCCATACATTGCATAGGTTAAAGCAGTGAGCTAAATTACTCCTCCATCCTTACTGGAGAGAAAGTAATTAAAAATCAACAAAGTCCTTGCTGTAATAATCTCTCAAGGCTGTATATCTTTGAGGGAACAAAACTATGCCTGGGATGTTTCTGAAGTGGACTAATGGAATGGAAATGGAAAATAAATATTCAGGTGACCCCAAGTATGGAGTACCCCAGAAAAGGATGCCTTTCTTAGTGCTGTTTGAATGCCTCCGATTCAGGGACTTTAGAAATATGTTGGGATTCCATTAAGGTGTTCTGTCTCTTCATGAAAGGAAAGCTGGCTGCCTCTCCATGAGTTATATTTCTGAAGCGGTCATTGCCTCAAGGGAGCCCTGAGCTGGAGGGAGGGGTGGGCAGCAGACAGACAGACAAGAAAGGTTGTCGGGAAACTTGGCCAACATGGACCCTTTCCCTGAGCTTCTCCTTTAGGTAGGGAAGTGTCTTGTGTATCATTAAGTCTGCACAGAGCAAGCCGAAGTGTCAGTAGAAGTATTCAATAAATTATACACCTGGGGAGGGCTCCCCACAATCTTCCTCCTTCTTCAGTTCCAGATTTTCAGAAAGCTGTCCCAGGAACCAGTAGCTACAGCCATGCCATCAGCAGTTACTCCCAAACAGCTCACCCTGTTGTCGTGCCCAGACAGGATTCCTGAGATGGAAGGAAATTTAAGTCATTATGGACGACTTTAATTTTTAATCTGTGCTTCCTGTCTTTTGCCACGATAACCGAGGCAGATGACGCAAGGACAAAAATCATAATAGAAAATAACCCATCGGCCCACAATATAAAATGAAATATAATCCGAAAACAGCAGAGATGCAATGATGAATCTTGTTAAAAGACCTGTTCCCTCCTTCCTTCCCATCTAAATGGAATTTTTTTGTGTGTTGAACATCACAGACATCAGTGGAGAGGGTACACTCAAAGTCTGGGTAGCCGTGTTAAAAATGCCTTGTCTCTACAGTATTTGCTATGTGTTGTTGCTATGTGCCATCAAATCATCACTCAGAGAGACTCGAAGGGATGTGAGATATTTAAGGAGTTGGTTGTACCAGTGCCACCCTCCAGTGCCGTTCCATGGCTGAGTGAGGATTTTAACTCAGGTCTGAGTCCTAGTCCAGTACACTTCACTATGCTGGCTCTCACGACTCGAAGGGATGTGAGATATTTAAGGAGTCGGTTGTACCAGTGCCACCCTCCAGTGCGCTTCCATGGCTGAGTGAGGATTTTAACCCAGGTCTCCTGAGTCCTAGTCCAGTACACTGCACTATGCTGGCTCTCACATACTCAGTGAGTGGGTTCAAAAGCATTGCAATGTTGTGATGCAGCACAATTCTGCAAATAAAGGGTCACGTTATAAAATAACTGCATATGACTTGGCCTGGAACAGTCTAATGTCACTATAATGACTAACAAGATATTTTTGGGTGTGTGTGTGTGTGTAAGGCTTTATAGACTGCAACCCACAATTTTGATAAAGTATCCTACCATCCATGATATGCAAGATAAAAAGGTTTGCCCGTAAGGTGCCATCTGGCTCTAGTTGTTTTTTGCTGCCCTGCCATTTGCATGCACACAGTGACAAAGTTGAGGAATAATTGATGATGCAGTATACTAACTTGGTAGAGAGGTTCTCAGCCAGAACTCTGCTCCCTTGGAAGGGGTAAGCTTTACCTTCTGCTCTGGAGAACTGAACATCTTTGTGCCCGAACCTGCCAGAGACAGCTTGTGACTGGGCTGGGCTGGGCCGTCCCCCCCTTCCTGGTCCATGAGTCACCCATGGAACCTGCTCTTCTGGCAAGGAGATGACCTCAGCTCTTACAAGGGGGGGTAGCCTGCTGAGGCTCCAATGCTTTGGCCATCTCATGAGAAGAGAAGACTCCTTGGAAAAGACCCTGATGTTGGGAAAGTGTGAAGGCAAGAGGAGAAGGGGACGACGGAGGACGAGATGGTTGGACAGTGTCATTGAAGCTACCAACATGAATTTGACCCAACTTCAGGAAGCAGTGGAAGACAGGAGGGCCTGGCATGCTCTGGTCCGTGGGGTCATGAAGAGTCGGACACGACTAACCGATTGAACAACAAGAGCCTGCTTAGAGGAAAGCAAGCACAGGCCAAGTCCACTCACCCACACGCTCGGCTTTCAAAGAGTCCCAGATGTTGCAGTTAAAGTCATCATATCCAGCCAGGAGGAGGCGCCCACTGCGGGAGAATGCAACTGATGTAATTCCACAGATGATGCTCTCGTGAGAGTAGACAATGAGCTCCTGGTCTGCCCGAAGGTCATAGAGGCGGCAGGTGGCATCATCAGAACCAGTGCAGATGGCCTCGCCGTTGGGGAAGAACTGGGAAGGGACAGAACACAAATTCACTCCCCTCTATCCTCCTCCGCTACAAACACCCTATGTTCAGCCTCATCTTTCCCATGGTTTAGTGTTTAACCACACTCTTCTGACCCTGTTGCCCTCCGCTTACCTCAGCTCTTGCATCTGCCACCCTCCACCCTGATGGTGGCTCTTGGCTGCTGGATGAAACTTACATTGATGGCATTGATATCAGACTCATGTCCAGTAAACGTCTGGCGGCAAGTTCCCTCTCGGACATCCCACAGCTTGGCAGTGGCATCACAGGCTCCAGAGATGAAAAGCTTGAAGTCTGGGGAGACGGCCAGGCTCATGCAGTCTCCTGTGTGGCCTACGAAGACTGTCTTCTGCTGGCCTGTTTCAATGTCCCAGAGGGCACTGTGGTGAACAGAGCCAAGAAGTCAGAGCCCTAAATGGTGTGGCCATTTCGGTGAACCAAGCATTGAGTACAGACTAGGAATATTTACAGTTTTTTTTAAAAAAAGCATCAATGTTCTTCCTTTCCACAGAACATTTCAAAGCCTCTGTCAACAATAAATTAAAACAAAATCTTAACACTAATGTTAAGAACAGAATGGAATCTGCACAAATGGTCCCAGTTTAAAGTTGCTCAGTCTCCAGAGCTTCAAATCCTTTGACTCCATGGGAAGTAAGGGGCAATGCCTGGCAGGCAGGGAGGATGAAGCCTGAGGCACTGAGTGTGATGCCAAGGGAGAAGTGAGAGCAAAAGGGACAATGGACAGAGCTACGAGAAGAATCCAAGCTCTTATCAAGCCACGTTCTGCCTGTCCTGTACCTTTAGAGCTTAAATACATTTGAGTTTATTTTTATAATCAACAAATCAGGATTGTGGTGTGGAACGAAGAAGCAGTTTAGCCATTTGCCATAACCATAATCCAGAAACAGATTTTTGGACTGAGCATTTTGCCTCAGGAGGGAAGCTCCAATTGCTGTGATTGTGAGGTATTTTGTGCTATTTCTGGAAATCTTGAGACGAATGATAAAATCAGGATGTAAAGAAGTTACTGGTGGTTGGAGAACAACAACACTAGCCATCTTGCCTGGGCGATTCATGGAGTCGTCTAGAAAAATAACTTTTCTCAGTTCAGGGTAAAGTGTTAAACATGGGAACCCAGTGCAAACACCTGCCAACTCTAATCCTGTTAGATGCTGACAAAATGATACCACATTGAATAAAAGAGTACCATCTTCTGAAGGTAAACAGACATCCAAGTTGTTTCTGTTCTTTTAACTTAACGCATTTCCCTTAGTAATGTTGAGATACTGTGGAAATTTCACCTCTGTGAGTAAAGGAGATTTTTCTAGCCGACTTGAAAAACAATATATGATGGACAGAAGTCCCATACTTCCCCTTTACAGCCCCCTCATGCCACTGCCAGAGGGTCAACCCATAGACAGGTGGAAAAAAAACATACCATGTGGTGTCCCCAGAACTGGTCACAATGTTATTGTCATCCAGGAATCGACAGCAAGAGAGGTAGCCTGCAGGGAGAGTATATCAGAATGTAAGTCGCCAAATAGCCAGAGTCACATCACTGGCGCCTGCAGAGTACCACATATTAAAGAGTTCTAATTTTAAATTTTATTTTGGGGTGTGTACAACTTGCAAAGGTACCCAATGTGGTGTAGTGGATAGGGGTGAGGGACTAGGAGTCAGGAGATCTTGAGTGTGGAAATTCACTGGCAGGGCATGGAACTGGTAAAACCACTCCTTAAATACCTTATGTGCCTTGAAAGACTTATTAGGATTGTTATAAGTTGGTTTCTATTTGATGGCACATACTATTTAATCTCTACTTAAATGACTTTGTCCCAGGCCTACAAAATATCTCTCCCCCCCCACCACATTCCATGTCTGCGGAATTGACTGATGCCTGCCTTGCTGTATGCTGACAACCTTGTTCTGCTCTCAAGAACTCAGGTTGGTCTAAAACATGCCATTACTGCCTATCGTAATGAAGAGCTACTGGAGATGAACAAGGAAAAATCAAAACTAATGGTACGAATTTACTTTATTTATTTATTTATTTATTTATTTATTTATTTATTTATTTATTTATTTATTATCATCATCATCATCATCATCATCATCATCATCATCAAAGAAAAGGTGGATGTACTGTTCTGCAATCTGTCAGTTTTAAGTGCAGTTACTTATTTTGATTCTGATGGCCATCGGGTGGAATGAGGGACCATAGATGACACCAGTGAAGAAAAAAGAAAAAGAAACACCCTCAGCAACCCTTCTGGCTTTTGAGATTATGCGTTGTTTCCCACACAACTTATTGGCACAGCTTCACAATCACAAGACATTCCAGCAGTGTTGGTTTATATTAAAACTATATTAAAAGTTGGAGAGCCAAGGCCTTCATCAGGTACAATTTTCTGTGCTTGTGTTGGTGGATAAACATGCACAACCTTTGCCTTGAACTGTGCTGCCACATTTTTTAAAAAATCACCTGTATGGGCTGAGAGCTCCCGGCTCACTTTCACGTTCCCTTCACGGCTCTTGAGATTGTAGATTGAGCACATGTTGTCAAGACCTCCACAGGCCACAAAATTCCCTGACGGGGCATAGGCACAGGTCATGACCCAGGAGGAGCGGAGAGGGATGGCATGAACCTGAGATTAAAAAACAAACAAACAAAAAGGGTGGAAATCCAATTTGACATTGAGATTCTCCCGGGACTGACTGAGGACCTTAGAGGAAACATCCGCTTTAAGCTTGCGAGACTTAAGTAGTAGCACTGCAGACTCAGGAATGAAAAGCTGGTAGCTTCTGGAGAGGATTTTTCTGGAGAGGCTTCTGATATTTTTTTTTCTGGAGAGGCTTCTGATATTTCTAACTCCTTTTGTATATATCCCTTACCTTGTTTGTTGTGTATGTGTCCCATACAATGAGCTTCCCATCTTGTGAGGCACTGACCAAGAGCCTAAAGGGAAACACCAAAGCTGTATCAGCACAATTGCGCAAAGTCTTGTCTCCCAGACCACAGCTCTACTGGACTAAATGTCAAGGGGACCCTTTTACTTTTAACAAGAACTTGCATGCAATGAGACAAAGCCACACACACCCAAAACGAGAACTCTTTAAATGCACTACTGTAGTTACAATCTGCTACTGTCAGTAGTGTTGTCACTCACTCTGTGCCAACAGAGCTCCACAAGAAGATACTGGACATTATTTATTTATTTATTTATTTATTTATTTATTTATTTATTTATTATCATCATCATCATCATCATCATCATCATCATCATCAAAGAAAAGGTGGATGTACTGTTCTGCAATCTGTCAGTTTTAAGTGCAGTTACTTATTTTGATTCTGATGGCCATCGGGTGGAATGAGGGACCATAGATGACACCAGTGAAGAAAAAAGAAAAAGAAACACCCTCAGCAACCCTTCTGGCTTTTGAGATTATGCGTTGTTTCCCACACAACTTATTGGCACAGCTTCACAATCACAAGACATTCCAGCAGTGTTGGTTTATATTAAAACTATATTAAAAGTTGGAGAGCCAAGGCCTTCATCAGGTACAATTTTCTGTGCTTGTGTTGGTGGATAAACATGCACAACCTTTGCCTTGAACTGTGCTGCCACATTTTTTAAAAAATCACCTGTATGGGCTGAGAGCTCCCGGCTCACTTTCACGTTCCCTTCACGGCTCTTGAGATTGTAGATTGAGCACATGTTGTCAAGACCTCCACAGGCCACAAAATTCCCTGACGGGGCATAGGCACAGGTCATGACCCAGGAGGAGCGGAGAGGGATGGCATGAACCTGAGATTAAAAAACAAACAAACAAAAAGGGTGGAAATCCAATTTGACATTGAGATTCTCCCGGGACTGACTGAGGACCTTAGAGGAAACATCCGCTTTAAGCTTGCGAGACTTAAGTAGTAGCACTGCAGACTCAGGAATGAAAAGCTGGTAGCTTCTGGAGAGGATTTTTCTGGAGAGGCTTCTGATATTTTTTTTCTGGAGAGGCTTCTGATATTTCTAACTCCTTTTGTATATATCCCTTACCTTGTTTGTTGTGTATGTGTCCCATACAATGAGCTTCCCATCTTGTGAGGCACTGACCAAGAGCCTAAAGGGAAACACCAAAGCTGTATCAGCACAATTGCACAAAGTCTTGTCTCCCAGACCACAGCTCTCTCTCTCTGCCCTCTCTGTGTGATCACATCTTCATGGCTTTGTGCCCCTACTCCAGGGAGATTAGTGCCCTCACAGCACTATTCTGGCCAACTATATAAAATTGTTAAGAGATGGAGGTGGATTCTTAGGTATCAACATGCTTATGGATTGTAGTTTGTTATTAGTTAATTATTACCACATCATCAATAGTTTACACCCTGCTTTCCATTATCCCTGATCTGGGCTATGCTGGGCTACACTTACTGGAGCTGACAGGAACGGCAGCCGAAAAAAATCAATACAGTGCTTGGGTGTGTAAGGCTGTTCTACAAAATACACAACAATTGATCAGGAGAGTAGCAATGTTAGGGTAAGACTTAGGAGTCAATTTATTCTGCAGGGAATCAGACTAAATAGGTTTGCTTCAAAGTATGGTATATCGTTTAGCACAATCCTTGTATTCACACTAAGCATGCAGTGGTTTTGGGATGAGAAACCACACAGCAGCTCAAAAACAAGACTTTTTAATTCATTCCTCTCTCTCTCTCTGCTTTTATATCCCCATGTCCTCTCCTGTCTCTGTCTCCATGGGGGTAGGGGAAAGCTGGAATTTAAAAATAAATCATTGGGAAGTGGCATAATGCTGAATTGGCTTGTCATAATGCAAGTGACAGAGTGCTGGATTCTACAGAAAAGAGATTCCCCTCCTTTTCCTCTCCTGCTTCTCCCTCTGCTAGTGATCCAAAAATGTGTGGATAGCCCTGGAAAAGAGCTGATCTAATTCACGATTACCTGTCCAACATGTAGCCTCTGGTAATTAGGTTGAACTAGACCATCCCAACTGGAGGATAAAATGGACAATAAATTGTAACGTAGCTGCCCTCTTAGTTTGTTCCAGAAAACCAGAAAGAGCTGTTCTCTGTTTATTTGTTGGTTTTGCTATTGAAAATAACATTTCATTTAACTTCATGTCATTTACATGTCTTTTACATGTTGTAAACAAATGGACGGAAGCCCATTGGGTAACGCTGGAACTCAGTGATCTCTGTATCTTGCAAAGTAGTTCTGAGGGTAAGATCGTGAGGGAAATGAATGCCATTTTGGATGAATGCTGGGGTATAAATGAGATTTTAAAAGTAAACAAACAAACCTTATTTCACATGGAGATGGATATTAAGGGTTTCATAAAAGGCTTTATGGGGGGGGGGAGAGATTTGAACCAGAGGCTCTTGCAACAAAATACCCCCCCCTCCAATTTTAAGAATAGTAAACTTTGTGAGCTGGTTTAGGATAGTATTTTCTTATTTCCATTTACAATTCCACATTCATACAACTAGTTTGTATGGGCTACATATGTAGGCACCATCACTAAGACCTCAGAACCTGCTTATAAGCATCCACTCAGAAACTGGTTACGGTTGGGAGTTCAACCTGTGCCTCCTTGACGGGCTGAGTTCGATGATCCAAAGGGTCCCTTCCAGTTCTGCAGTTCTAACGTTAAGATAACAAGATACACTAGTCTAGAGGGATCAGCAGCTCCCTCTTCAAAACCTCTCTGGAAAGCAGAAGTAAGAGGAGAAGTAAGATAGCTTAGCAGGCCTCTATGGCTGGGCTGGGCTGGGCTTGGTTTGTCAAGGAAGGGTTCGCAGAAAGACAGGGTGGTGCCGGAGAAAGGGGTTTCCGGCATAGAGGGGCTCATGGGAAAACCAATGTGGTGGCCCTTTCAATCTGGCACCACTTACTTGGAATCAGTGGACCAGTGACAAGCGTAAATCTTGGCCAGGTGTCCACGCAGGGTCCGCCGTGTGCGCATCTGTATGCGCCCAACCACTTCAATCCCAGAAACGAGCTGCAGAGAAAAGGGGGCATTTTAGCCCTTTTCATCAAGCTGATGGAGAAAGAAAACTTCCCTCCTTCTCGCAACTGTCTTATGTCGGGTGATTTGGGGAATCCCATTGCTTCTTGGAATTTATGCCAGACTTTTCCTCTCAGAGACAAACTCGGCCTGGGTGGAGTAAGTTACTACAAGTTCCTCCTACCTGAGCAAGTGTAGTGTCAGCGCAAGCTTTTCGTGCATCCTGCAACAAAAGAGAAAAAGGGGAAGAGTTGGTGTCAGGCCAGCAAAAGAAGAAAGTCACCGGAACAGAGATCTCTTGTCATATTTGCTTTGTATTTTGTACCAGTCAAGGCGATCCAAATACAGTGGTGCCTCGTTTAACGAGGATAATCCATTCCAGCGAAATCGCTGTAGAGCGAAATCCTCGTTAAGATAAATAAAAAATCCCATTGAAACACATTGAAAACCCGTTCAATGCATTCCAATGGGCTGAAAACTCACCGTCCAGTGAAGATCCTCCATAGGGGCGGCCATTTTCTGTACCTATATAGCGAGGAATCTGTCCAAAAACACAGTGGGGAGCCATTTTGAACAGCCAGCGGCCATTTTGAAGCCACCGATCAGCTGTTTTAAAATCGTCGTAATGCGAAGAATCAGTTCCCAAAGCAGGGAACCGATCGTCGCAAAGTGGATTTTGCCTATTAAAACATTGTTTTGCAATCGCAAAACATTCATCGTATAGCCGTTTCATCATTTAACGAAGCAATCGATAAGTGAGGCACCAATGTAAATAAAACAGAATGCAGAAGCAGCTATGTTGGTCAATAAATAAAGTCCAAAAATCAGTTATTGATACCAGGATGATATCTTCTTTAGGCCAACCAAAAAGAAATACATGTAAATACTTTTTGGTAAAATTGGAAAAAAGACAATAAATTCGGGGTGAAACCAAGATGATAATGATGGTAACAATGCTACTGTTGCAGATGATGAGGACAACAGCGGAATCAGCCACAATAGCAACAACACTTTACATCTGAAAAGATATAACATAAAGTAACCTACTTGTAATCTTTACTGTCACTGTGTGAGGCAGGCCTGTGTTATTATTGTCCATCTTACAGATGTGGGTGGTGAGACTCAAGAAGGAGTGGGTTTCCTTAAGTTTACCTAATCAGGTTGCCAGCCTCCAAGCTTCAGCTCTGAGAATCAGTTGGGGGGGGTGTCATTTTCTAGGTTTCAAGCTTTTGACCTCAAATCTGAGGGAATGGGACACTGCCAACTGGCAAACCTGGGCCTGGGGTTCCATTCTCACGAGTGCAGGCTGTGCCATCCAGAGACTCCAGACCGGTTGAGAGGCCCTTTAAGTCATCTTCGTTGTATGCTCTACTGCTGCTTGCTCAGATTGACACGTCAGCATTTCTTATCTTGCTTCTGCTGCAAGCATCCTGGATGAATGATTCTGCAGTAGCGTATATGTAACAGTTCCAATGGTGTGGACTGCAGCTTGCAAATCTCTCCCAGCAGAATCTAGGACACAGACCATAGCTAGTCCTGTCTCACTGGCCTTTCAATTCCTCATGGTGTTGTGATGAGATGGGTTTTTGAGTTAAAGTCTTGTAAGGAATATGGGGTTTGTAACTGAGAAATGAGCAAGAGAGGTTCCATCTTGTTTCTTTGTATAAAGTATCTTTGCTATGCTGACAGGTTGTTTTCTAGGCCAGTGGTTCTTAACGTGGGCAATAATGGCCCACAGGGGGCGATTTCATTTTTCAGGGGGGCGGTAGAACAAAAAGGGGCGGTGTGGGGGCGAAAGAACAGAAGGGGGGCGGTAGGGGGGCGCTGGAGTGAGCCAA